GCAAGATGTTAAAACCAAAGTAGTGGTATGTTTTATAGTTTCTCATACTTTTCTACGGCTTTTAATATTTTACTAAACACTAGTGCTTAGTACACCCCAGCTGCTCCCTGGAGTGTACACTGTTATTATTTCTGTAGCACGCAGAAGGGGCACAGAGAGATTAAAAAATGACTGGGACATGAGCCAGGGCCAAGACCACTCTGCCGTCTGGATTTCATCCCCCGTGGGGCTCATGGTTGAAGGAATAGCGGGAGGCCAAGTGATCTTCAGGTCTGCACAGCTCCCTGTGAAATTACCCAAGATCCTCAGGAGAGGGACTGGTGTTTTTCACAAGTACCTTCCTATGTCCCCTGCACTTGCCTGCCCCAATCCTGCCCCCTGAAGGTGGTGGGGGTCTCAGCAGCACAGTGGACCTGCCAGCCTGCCCCATCCAGCCGGGGCCCCAGGTGTGAGCACGCGTGACTGCACGCTCTAGTGCCCCAGCTTCGTGGGAAGCTGAAACGTCCCACTTTCAGAACATTTTCCTCATCTCCTAGCGAACAGGGTTTTTGTGTTACGAGATATCCCTGGACTCATATGATACGTCAGTGCAGACAAGAGTTATTTTAAGGGCCACAGTTTGATTTAGTTATCTCAGGCACTCAAAGATTGTTTAACACCAGAAATAGCTGACTAGAACAGCTGTTGAAACCTCGCTTTGTGTGGAAATGGATGCAAAGGCTCAGTATTTTGACAGCTGTTTCAGAGCAGTGAGTAATACACTTCTAAGAAAATTCTGATTGCTGCTTCTAGTTTTCTGTGTGAACACAGAATAGGCATAGAAGCATTTTTGCTTTTCTAGAGGCTTGCTTTTGTATCAATACACATTATTCAACACTAACAATTTATTATTTAGGTTTTTTTTAAAACTAACCTAATTTGTTTGTTCATCAAAGATGAGCTCAGTGCTTACTGACCTCCCAGCGAAATGTAAAGCCTTTGGATCACAAAGAATTAGATGCTGCCACCAAGAAATTCCCAGCCTGGAAAGAAGAAATTGAACAAGGCATGACATGAGAGAAATTTTTTATTCAGTACTGGGTATTGAACCGAGGACCTTGCCACTGAGCTACATCACTAGACCTTTTTAATTTTTCTTTTGAGACAGGATCGCACTAAGTTTCACATGTGGGACTTGTGCATGTGATCCTCCTGCCTCAGCCTTGCAGATAATTTGAAATGTGATAAGTATTCGAAGCAGAAGTAGGACAGAGAGTAGAATGAGAAAGAAGTGGCATTAAACAATTAGGTGTTTGTGACTTTGAGGGGGCAGGTGACAAGAGTGGATTAATGTTCCAAATGGAAAGAAAAGCTTGGTCATCGTGACAGAAGCACCTATGGGCTCAGCATTCTGGGTTAAAACAAAAATCAAGTATTTATTGATTTGATTGGTCATTTGCACACGTCAACTCACAATATTATATTGTTTGGCTAGCCTGTGCCTTAAAGTTTCACAAAACATTTTCTAATTTAAAAATATTTCAGCATAGGGGACAGGGATTTAGCTCAGTGCTTCCACTGCCTGCCTTACAAGCGCAAGGACCTAAGTTTGATCCCCGGTACCCAAAACAAACAAACAAACAAAATTTTCAGCATGAACCCTTTGGTATATATTTGTTAGCTTTCATCTAAATCTGAGTGGAAGTTGGTACTGCCAGTTGAGAATGAATTCTTAGGCTTGGCGAGTGACCTGGCATCTCTAATCAGAACTCACTCCACAGGGTCTGCATTAAGCAGCTTAGTTTTCTTTATATCCATTTGACATCAGAGGTTTTGTTAATTAGAGTAATGGAAGTTAAAGATGGATGCTAATTAGGATCATTTGTGATGATAGAGATAAGTGGATTGAGTTTTACCATTTCAGAAACCTTCCTTCTGTTGTGTTACAGAGTATAAAAGTTTACTGAGTGTTAAAGATGGAGAAAGTGAGGCTCCCAGAAACTGGGTCTTCCTGCAGTGGCAGGATGAGGACTGCACCATTCCAGCCCCAGTGCTGCCTCTGTCCAGAGCTCTGCTTGGGGAGTTTCGCCTGGCCTTGGAAGAGTCTCTGTCCATGACACTCTTGTAGAAACTTATAAAACCACACTGCTGATCCATGACCTCAGCTCTCCAATTCCACCCTGAAGTGTGTGTGCCTGAGAACCAACAAATGTGATGTTTTGTGTAGTCTTTGCATTTTTTTTTCCTTTGATTTAGGCAGTATGAGTGATGCATCTGTATTTCTAGTTGATATGTCTGTCTTAGTTACTTTGACATTACTGCAACAAAATAGCAGACATTCTCAAGTTAAAGGAGGAGAGGTTTATTCAGCTCACAGTCTGTAGAGGTTTCAGTCCTTAGCCAGCTAGCTCTAATGCAGGGCAGCGTGGCAGAGGAGAAACAGTCCATGGCATGGTAGGCAAAAAGCAGGAAGACCTCCTTCTTTCCCTTTTTATTACATCCAGGCTATGAGCCTATTGGTTGGTGTCACCACACCCAGGCTGTCTTCCCTCTTCTGGAAATCCATTACCCACACCCAGAACTATGCTAATTCAAATCAGTGGACTAATCCAGTATCATACATCCATGATCTATGTCACACACCTATGATCCAGTCATTTCCTGAAAGCCTTACCTATGAGCACATGAGGCTTTGGGGAACATCTAGATATAAGTCGTAACAATATCTCACTGATATGTAATTAATTCCTAGTTAATTAGGAGGAAACTCATCTTTTTTCAACTATCACTATTTTCTGCTTTTGTTATTAATTTACTATTTTATCTGTGTGGAAAAGTAATTAGATATCGTTGTAGTAAATCCAAGTTAAAATAATGCAAACTAAAAATCACATGTGTGCATTTGCATGAAGTAGAATCACATACCCTTGGAAAATTCTGCAGGATCTAAGAATTTTACTCTTGATGTATGTCATACAAGTCAGAGCAAAGAAATTGATTTCCACTTCAGCAAAAGCTTGTTGGTTTTAAGTCAACTAATGGTCACTTTTGTTTAGTGAGGATCTAAATGGATGCTTTACCCTTGCACAGTGACCAAGAACAACTGTAGGACTTCTCCGTGGTGGTCTACCTCACTTAGGTTTCTTGATTAGTAACTCTAGTTCAAGAAGGCTGTGGTGGTCCAACTGTCACAACACTAACATGCCTGAGTTGGGGAGTGAGGATTGAGAAAGGAAAGAACACTCAAGCCTGAGTGGAGACCAAGAGAAGTCTGATTTATTTCACAGAATCAGCACCTTTTATAGGTTCACATCAACAGGAAGCACCAAGCAACTATTTGTATCTTTTATGGAAAGACCGGATTTTCTGACTCTTTACAAAGAACATCAGATCTGTGGCTGTCTCTTTGAGTTTCTCCCATTGCAGCAACAAGTTTAACAAGCAGAGTCCTAGAATGTTACACAGATTGTATCAATGCCTTGAGTGTAGAGGTGAAGAAGTTTCCTTTCAAATGTCAAACTCCTAGAGGGCCATGGCCGGGCTCCCACAGAAGGCAAGTGCCATTGTGATCATTTCACAATGGAGGAAATCAAAGCCATGAGAAGTTAAATAGACTGTCCAGTCAACTGAACAGGTTTTAATAGCCAGAGCTGAAATTGAGCTTTTCTGAACAAGAGTTGACTAGTCCTCAGCTCTTTCTATCACTGAGGCTTCCAGAGCTGGGGAAGTGAATTTCAGGAGATTGTGCCTTTTGAGGTAGTGGTTGATACAGTCAGAGCCAAAACTTAGGTATTATTGTGAAATAACACATTAAGAGATACTTGTGATGTTTTCAACAAAATTTACAGGTCCAATTCAACTGAACTTGACGAGAAGCCTGCTGTAGTCAGGCCTGAGCTTGGGGCTTTCCAATGGGCTGTCCACTTTCATTGGTGGCAGAGCAAGGGAGTCAGTGGGCTGTTAGACTCTCCCACAAACCACCATTCCCCAAAACCTGCAATCTAAGTTAATTAAACTTAAGAAAGGAATGTCTTGGCAGGTCCTAGTCAGGTTTCCTAACCCCTCATTCCAGATAGCCACTTGCCCTACATCCTGTTCTCTGTCTTCAAAAACAATTCTGTGATGGTGATATTGTCTCTGTTTTGCAATTAAGTAAGCTGGAGCTTTTGAAATAAAATTTGTGTCCCCTAAAATTGTGCATTGCATAATTAGGTCTGAAGTCCTAGTTGATACTTCGGAGTCTAGGCCTTGTTTTAGGATGGGTTCTACGTAGCTTAGAACTAATTATGGGCACTGAAATTATAGCAGTTGTTCTAGTTGGTTTCCCATTGCTATAACAAAATACCTGAGATAATTGACTTATGAGAGAAAAGATTTATTCTGTTCACAGTTCTGGAGGTCCCAGTCCGAGACCCATCACGTTGGGTCTCTCTCTGGTGATCATGATGAACAGTGGTGGGGAGCTCCTGGTGGTGCTGACTGTTTACCTCATGGCCAGAAAGCAAAATGGAAGAAACCAAAGTCCACAGTTTCCTTCAGGGGCACACCACAAATGACCTAAAGACCTTCCATAAGCCCCATCTCCCAGTAGGGCCACCCTGGGGACCAAACCTTTAATGGGTCTTTGGTGGATGCTTAGCCTATTACAGTGTGTGTGTGTGTGTGTGTGTGTGTGTGTGTGTGTGTGTGTGTGGTGTCCATGTTATTTTGTTTTGTTTTGTTTTTGTTTGGTATTAGGAATAAAACTCAGGTCCTTCAGCTTTCAAGGCAGCTGGTGGAACCACTGAGCTAAATCCCCGGCATGTCCGTATTACTTTAGAGTGCCTTAGCATATGTTTGGTGTCTAATTTGGGCTCAGTGTGGATAGAGGAGGCCCCCTTCCTTGGAAAGGGGACATTGGATAGAAGGTGGCTGAAGAGAAATTGGACTGATGCCAGGTTCACGATTTGAAGCTGTCAGCTTTTGCTGTCACCACTGTGTGAGACAACTCGGCTTAGAATACTGAAGAGTTTGGGCAAGAAATGGGGTTGTGCCTGCCCTACCCCTGCAGGTACACGTCAGCCAAACTATCCAGGAGGCTTCTTATCACAGGTATGTCCCACCTTGATAAGCTAGTTAATGTAGGAAGAAGTTGAGCTGCCCCTGCTCTTAATTTCCCTTCCCTGGTCAGCTTCCCTCCTGGAAGGAGAAGGTCCTGCCTCTTCTTAAATGAGTCTGTGTTTGGTGAGCATTTGTATTTTTCACAGATAAATCACTGATCATATTTACTAAATGTTCAGGTTTTTCTGCACTTGATCTTAGCCAAAAGGCCGAGAAGCGATATTCAGGTTTTTCTGGATTTTGTCAGTGTGAGCAGGTTTTCCAAGGGTGCAGTTAGCCCTAGATAAATGGATCATTGAGGTTCCTAACCTGCAGAAGTCAACTTCATGCTACCAGAAATGTGTGTCCTGATCCGCTTGATCTCTAGCTATAATGATTGATGTCACACTGGCAAAGGACTACTGTTGAAATGGGAAAATTTCTTTTTCACATCCCCTGTTCATTCATTCTAAAGCGCAGCATTCAAACACCGCGTGATCTTCTCTCCTAAATTACAGGGACCCTTGGGGCTCTACCTCACTCCACTTTGTGCCCACAGGGTTTGTCTTGCACATAGTGGAACCTTAGCATTTGCTGAGCTGAACTGCACTACATTTTTCAATACAGAAGGGAAGTTGGGCAAATTAAAATATAGGTGGGAGAGGCTGGCAAGCTGAATCAGAAATGCATGCATGGTTCCTATGGCCTGTCCAGTTACTTAAATGAAAGATTTATTTCTTAGCCAAAAAAGGAAAAATAATATACATCGGACATAAGCTGGACAAGCAGAGACTCCAGCAGACAAGGGCTTTCTCCTGTACTTGTTTTTATTATTAACAGATGCTTGTAATGACTGTACCATCATGTACCAGGGACTGTGTTGGGAACTTTGAAGCGCACACACACTTCTCAGTTCGTGCAGTTTCTCTTGGAGGTTGTTGAAACAAGTGACCTAGCAGCACTGCCACCATGTGTAAGAGGAAAGTTTTGCCAGGGCACCTTGACACGGGAAATAGCACTGGCGGTGGAGATGGAGCAGTGGGGCCTGTTCACACTACCTCTGCGAAGTCAGGTAGATAGTGAGAAAATGCTTACCTGTTTCCCTGCTTCTCCATCTTTAGGCCTCCTGGTGGGCACCCTTGATGTGGTGTTGGACTCCAGTGCCCGGGTCGCTCCTTACCGAATCCTGTACCAGACGCCAGACTCTCTGGTCTACTGGACTATCGCCTGCGGTAAGTAGCAGCATCCTCAGACTACAGAGAAACTTTAGGATTAACAGCTTTGAATCAGAAGGGAAGGAACAAATATTTGCTGAATGCAATCACATGAACCCAAATTCTTAAAGGTTTAACACAGTAAAGGTTTCTTTCTCACTCTGAGGTCCAAAATAAATTAAGGTTAATATGTGAGCATGGTACATTGGCTAAAATTAGTGAACCAATTATAAAATAAAGCCTATTATATATTCAGATTTTCTTTATTTTTCCTAAATGTTTTTTTTCCACTCCAGGATTTCACCAGTATACCATTATTACATTTAGTTATATCATCCTCTCAGGCTCCTCTTGGCTGTGGGAGACCAGGGATGACCTTGACAACTTTGAGAAATGCTAGTCAGTTATATAATAGAATACTGAATTTTATCTGTTTTTCTTAAGATTAGACCAGGCTGATGGGCCTTTATGAGGACAGCCACAAGAAAAAGTGTCATTTTCATCTCATCATGTCATGGGTACATGTCACCAACAGGAACTTGTGACTGCTGACGTCCTAGATCTCCTGCTTATGATTTTTCTGGTTTCCCCACTGTGAAGTCACTCTTTTCTTCTCCTATGAAAATGATACTCTGGAAGAAAGTCATGTACAGTTCATCTTTTTTAATATCTCTGTGTCTTTTTTTAAATTCTTCTACATTGTAGGTTTGTTCCCAGTTTTTAATTTGTGCAGTTACTTATGTCATTATAGACTCATGGATATGTACTTTATATCTTGAGTTATCACCTGTTGCTATTTTAAGTTTGCTTAAATTATCCCAGTACTGGTCATGGAGAGTGTTTCCAGTTGACTTTCTGCAGTTTTTAAATTGATCTCTACTTGGTAGGAAGTGCTGTGCTAGAACCTAAAGATAAGAAGACAATTACATCTGGTCTCTGTGCTTGAGAAAGTCATGGTCTTGTGAGGGTACAGTAAATAGTCATTTATAGCCCAAGTCAAACAGTTAACATGCAGTTTCATTTGATTCTGAATTCCCAAGAAAATACAGGATTCTAGGCCAGCCTCCTGAGTTAATTGGGAAAAGTATCTGGGTGTGATTTAAAGCTGCCAGAAAGCTCAGGTGACCTACTAATGCTTCCAAAAGTATTTAATAGAACCTGAAATTCCAACATGGTAGTTATATTCCTTCAGAAATATTCTGCTTAAGATGCAAACAGCTCCAGAAGGAGACATTTGCCCGTAGTTAATCATTTATACTTCCTGTGAATGAAAGAATGGTATAACTATTCCTCACTCTTTTTCTGGGGCTTTGCCATTCTGTAACACAAGTCTTTCCATGAATATTCATGTGGGATAGAACCTACAGTCATAACACTGAGTTATTCCTAAACTATTTGCCCAGCCAAAACTAAGGAACATGAGGTTTTAATTGCCAGTGGTTTACTTTATACCCCAAAGAGACCTGTTTTCATTTTCTCAGTAAAGCCTGTTATAACTGCATGACCTCATTATGATAAACCCAGAATGGTTTTAGCTCTGGTATATATTGATTACCCATAGAGATAGCTTCAGATTTCCTTATGGGAGCCTCCTCGGAAGTGACAACCATTGTCAAAGTCCCATTTGCTCATTAATTGTTCTTTCTTAACAGTGTCCAGTTAAAATCCAAATTATTGGCTTCCTTTCAGGAGAAGATTTTAGGAGCAGAAGCGGCTACTTTAAAACGATTTCTTCAATATGCTGACCTTTCTGTTTGTAATTTTAGTGCCCTTCATAAACTGTAAAGTTGGTATTTGATAGGAAAATACAGTGAAAGCTTGCAAATTTGCTTAAGTTTCATGAATTGTTGATGTAAGAGAAACTTCAGCAGAACACTGAGTGAGTCCAATTCATCGTCCTGTAGCAACCCCAGGATTATAAAACTTGAAATCACCAGCAAGCATAAATTGAATTCAACTAAAGGAAGTTTCTTCCATCAGTGTCTGGACATACACATCCTTTTGTAGAACAGCAGAACCTTAGCTGTAAATCCTAGATTTATGATCTGCCTTAGACTTGAGTCCTGTGAAACCAGGCAGGAGGAATCTTTGGGACCCAGTGTGATTTTCTGCCAATGTAATAAAAGGTCACTTGGCACTTCGCAGCATGAACTGGATTGTGTAATGAAGACCTTACTCATAGTAGAGCCCTAGTTATCTAGACTTGGCCCCCCCATTAATTTAGCTTTGCTCTTCTTTACCAGTGCTAATCTCATCTGGACCTACTTGGTCATTCAGTTTTAGAGCTGAAAGATACATCAGCCATCACCTCATCCACCCTCTTATTCTAGAGGGACAGAGAGGCAAAGTGAGTTTTCCCAGCCACATTCCGTTACCATGAGTTCCATGGAGCTCAAGCCAACTTCTCAAGTCTCCATGCTCCATCCCAGGAATTTTTAAGTGGCACCATGCTGGCTCTCACGATTAAACATTCTTTCAGTCAGCAGCTCTAAGACCCAGAATTTAATTAAAGATTCCTAATTGGTGTGCTCTTGCTGTTTCTCGACAATAAGACAGAAAATGTGGGGTAATTCGGTCGCCTTCCACATGAGGCAGATGTAATGGACTCATTGGCAAGTATTGTCACAGCCCTGTCTTGTTCTTTGTACCCCGAGGACTGTATTTTTATCCTCGGGAGTGCAGCAGTTTAAAAAGAAACAAAAAATTTGCTTTTTTAAAAAGTACATCATGTTGATTGTAGATTAGAGAATACAGATAAGCAAAAATAATAAAATAAGGAGTAAAATGACAGCATACTACAGACACCACCTTCTAAATCTAAAACACACACACATACATACACTTAACATACTTTATATACTTCTGTATACATGTAAATATATGCATACTGTACACCATACGTTAAATAGATATGGTGTGTGTACATGCATTTTAAAGCAAAGAAAATGAAAATTGTATTTGACATGTTGAAAAGAATTTCCATACCACTAAAATATATTATAATATCAATTTTGATAAATATTTTATTGTATGTATGACGATTTTTTCTAACCACTGTTATTAAAAATCTACAGTATTTTTCCCTTGATAGTGCTACATTCTGACCAATCTTAATGAGTTTCCTTAGCAAAATCTTTGGAATTCCCTTATTACCTTAGGATTAAATTCATAGAAGTAGATAGGCTGAGTCAGAATGTGCATATATTGGAGATATTTAGCCCAGTTTCTCCCTAGAAATAGTCATGAACATTCCCACTGTGGGTAGGAGAATACAGTGGCTCTGATGTCAAATAAGGATGTGAGCTGCTGGACTCTTCCTGCCAAGGCCAGATGAGTTACCTGAGCCTCTTTTCTCAAGGTGATTGGAAAGCGACAAGCATGTTGTCATGACGCAAAAGAGATGATAGAGGAAGCTTGTGATCTCTGGAGTTGCTCTAGGCGTGCCTTGCTGGGTTGTCTAGAATCCACAGTCCGAACAGAGGGTGCCTCGGGGAGCCTTTTCTGCTGAATGCCTGCTGGTCGGGCAGAGTTTGAGCAGCTGGTTTCTTTGTGTCCTAATGTCAGAAGTTAGAAATGTTTTCTGAATCGCGTTTCTAGAGGAGGTCTTTGTGTACTGCTGCTTATGGTGGTAATAGCAAAACTGTTTAGGGTTTTTATGTTCCAGATCTGTACTGAGTACGTTATCTTCATCAGTCTCTAGCGCAAACCAATGTGGCAAGCGTTGTCGCCTACAGAGTACTGATGAGGACCTTGGGGCACAAAGGGGCTGAGTCACTTACCCAAAGCTAACGTATGGCGCTGTAGGCCTTTGAAGCCAGGGGTACCTTTCTTTACCTCAGTGCCTGTGGTCTGTGGCATTATGTAATACCACCTGCCTAGGAGCCAGGTTCGTTATTAAAAACCCCAGGTAACCTGACCTCTTTTCATTCTAGCCACACTTGTAATATATGTGAGGAGGCAGACCAGTGTAGATTTAGGAGCGTGGATTTTGGAGCCAAAAACTCTGGGTCTGATTTCATAGAAACATGAAAGCCTCAGTTCCCCATCTACTGAAGAGATTAATCCTAGACCTTTTCACAGGAGAGCTATGTGTGTTGTGAATTAAAGTGAAGTACCTGGTCTAGGTCAGGGCCGTAATAGAGAACACCGTCCTTATTATCATATTTAAACTGTTCACAGCATCAATTAGATGTGAATTTTGAAACAGTAGATTGAAAAAGATGGGGCGGGAAAGACACATCAGCCACGTGAACTTTCACGTAAGGCCGTGAAGGCATGAGTCGGTGTCTGCGGAATGAGTGTGCGCGCGTGAGTAAGCGCTGCCTGCGCAGTGCTGAAGCCACTGCCCTCCATCCGCACTGAGGGGCTTTTCCACCCACAACAGCCAGGAACCCTGCAGTGGAGCTGAGGAGTTTGGCATAGATTCTACGACACTGTGACAGGGAAGCCGAAAGGCAGGCTCACAGTGCAGTGACCTGGTGAAGGCACATCTGCGGTCCTGCGGTCCAGAGAGGCAGGCACGGATAAGAGGCAAATTCAGAGGCTGGGAATTGTGCACCGTAGACTTGGAGAGACTTGGGGTCCTGAGGTCTGCAGGAGCACCTCTGACCTAAGGTGCGGAAGGTGAGACAGTGCTGGCAGGTACAGGTGGGGCAGCGGGGTGGAGGATGTGGGGCTGTGCTCCTCCCGGAGGACAGGGCTCTTGGTGAGTGCAGCGTGTCACAGCTCAGGTTGGTAGTGAGCTCTTCCCAGATAAGGCAGGTCCCACAAATATTTAGAAAATTTTTCAGTGTTTCAAAGCTCGGTGGACAACTAAAAAACCGATTCATTTCCTAAATATTCCAAATAGGCACTGTTTTACATTTGCAAAGTCTTTTCAACTTTCCAAAGTGTACCTGTGGATATTTATTACACCTTATGATTTTCACATTTATCCGAGAAAAGAGTTATTTTGTTTTTAAATCTGTGTCCATTTTACATGTAAAAAAATGTGCAGCCGATTAAACTGGATGAAGTCATCCAGCAGACTGGTGGCAGGGGCTGACCAGGTGTCAGGAGTCCCAGCTGCCTTTGACGTCACAGAGAGTCATCGTGTTACTGTTTTTACACATGGTTGACTGGCCTCAAATAAGCGAGCCCTGCAAAGTACCCACAGAGAGGAGCAGACAGTCTTTTCTTCAGTGTTTTCCCAGGACTGCTCCCCGCAAAGAAATCTGCTTTGTATTCCCTATGTAAGCATCCTTTGTGAAAGTTGTATTTATTTGTGATTTGGGGGATGAACCCAGGGCCTCTTGCCTGCTTGGCAAGTGCCGTACCACTCAGCTGCACCCCTGTAGGCGATTTAGTGTTCGGTCTTCAAGAGCGTAAACTCAGTTTTCTTTGACTGAGCCTTTCCTCAAAGTATGTCTGAAACGGGTCCTTTCTGCTACCGGAGTTCTGAGTATACATTTGCATCTCTCGATTTTCTTCCTTTGTCAGGAATCAAAGGGAGACTCTGGGCCATCTCAAGTTACTGATAATAAAGGACAGAGAGAAAAGACATTTAAGGGAAATCAGTTAAGAGATCACTTGGAAATTTCCGCTGATTTAAGGGCGAATCAGTGGAACCACAAAATCATTCTTGAGTTGTGGAATGAGTGGTACTCTCTCTCTATATATATATGAGTGATATGGATAATTTTTGAAAATATTTTTGTATAAGACCATTGGCAAGCATAAAAGAAGTTTATTTCATATTTTATAACTGCATCTTGAAAGCATCAGTGTTCTGCAGTACAGTGCAGGCAGAAAGCAGGGTGCTGGTGGTTATAGTTTCTGTTTCATGTAGGATTGTTTAAATGTGGAGGTTGCGGGTGAGGTGATGTATGCTCCTCATTCCTGACCAAAACACAGCACCTTAATTGGAGGCGGAAAAGATGACCTCATCCCGTTGCATCGCACAGCAGCTGGGCCTGTGAGAGCCGCCCGCTGCCCCCTCGTGCCGCTCCATTTTCACATCTCGTTCACAATCGAAGTAAGCAGGTGCCCATTGTAGGAGCGGTTTCATCAGATCTCTAGCGGCACCACAGCGGTGGTACTGTTGCAGCTGAACAACTGAAGCCATGTATCGTAATAAGCTCTGTTACCCCGAGAAGAGCGCTCTTAAAGGGAGGAAACGAAGCGGTAACTCCAGTAAGGAAAAGCAAACGCAGGACACAGTGCTGCCTTCCACCCTCACCAAGGCTGCTGAACGTTTCTACACACTGCTGATCAGACTGGCTTGTGTGCTTGTGTGCGTCTCACGCAGGACTTTAAAGTCAGAGCTCTAGGAAAGATGCAGTCTCCTGGGTAAGGTCCCGAGTTCAGTACGTGGTACAAAAAAGAAAGAAAAAAAAAGATGCAGTCCCCTTTGGCGGCATGATGAATTGATGAGGTGCACTGGGATTTTAAGCTATCTTGGTTGTGAAGCTGACATTATCACGCTTGCATTCGGACAGGGGGTTCTAGGAAGGAGATCACTGAGCACTGGGAATGGCTGGAGCAGAATCTGCTGCAGACGCTGTCCATCTTTGAAAATGAGAACGATATCACCACGTTCGTGCGAGGAAAAATACAGGTAGTGGTGTTTCATATTTTCCTTTCAAGAAAGAACAAACACCGTTTTTAATTGAAAGTAATTTCAAATTTACAGAAATGTTGCAAAAAATAAGGACTGTGTAAAAAACATCTGTTTACCTTTTACCTAGATTCACCTGTTGTCATCCTTTTACCCCATTTTCTTTATCATTCATGTGTTCGCTTCCTCCGTATTTCAGAGGAATTCTTTCCTAAATACATCAGTGTGTGTTTTCTAAGACTAGAGATACTCTAGTATAGTTAACAATCACCTTATTTAACATTGTGTATAAATTTAACATTCATATACTTTAATACTTGGCACAGATTCTAATTCTAATTGGCTGAATTATGACTTTTATAGTTTTCAAAGCTGTTTTTCATTCCAGTGCAGGATTCAATCCAGGAATCTATTGCATTTGGTTTTCATCTCTTTGGTCTCTTCGAGTCTGGAAGATTCCCGTCCCTCTCCTTCCTTACCTTTTATGACATTAGTATAAATTGAAGTATGCAGTTGTGGGTTTTCATGTGAGGTTTCGTCAGACGCTTTCCTTATGATTCTATCCAGAGTAAGCCTTTCTGGATGGATACACAGGAGTGACCTTCTCAGGGCATCATTCCTAGAGGCACCTGGCACTCAGGCTGCCCCTCCCTGGTGTTGTAAGCACAGTAAAGGTACCATCCAGTTTCTGCACTGTAGAGTTACTGATTTTCAAGTAACAAATAATTTTCTGTAAGGAAATGCATTAATGCTACAATTATACGTATCCTGCTCCTTATCAAAATTTCCCCTTTGATTTAGCATCCAGTGGGTAAGTTTTTACCCTGAACCAATCCTTACAGTGACAGTTTGTGGCAGGATGGAAGGTGATTTCCCAGTTCCAACAGTCTCTCCGTGTTTTTCACCTCGGCAGCTATTATTCTGTGAGCAGGAGCCCTCTCTCCACTTGTTTCTCTGTTTATTATTGATAGGGACTCCTAGGTTTCCCTGTGGTTTATATTACTGGACTTGTTTATTTCGGTGCTCGTGCCAGCCACAGCCCCAGTGTTGCCGGTTGCTTTCCGTGCTCTTGGATAACCCTGCATTGCTGTCAGGCACGTTCTCCTTTGTGTGTTTGTGCGCTGCGGGCTCTTCCAAGGTCATCTTCTACCTCCCCTGTCCTGTTCGTTCCAGTTTACTTTCAGTTTTAGGTTCTTTTTCATTCCCAGCATTATTAGCTTTATTTTGTTTTTTAAATATAAAAAAGAATAATAATAATAATAATAATGTGCTCCCAGAAGTCAAAAAGTATTTTCCCTTGTGCATCCGTGCCATCCTGTTCTCCATGTCCCTCGTAGTGAAAGAACTTCATTGTTTTCCAGTTTACCTTTATTGTTTCTTTTGTTAAAAATAAGCAGATTTATATTTTTCCTATTTCCCTTTAACTCTCACACAGACTTCACATATATATGCTGCTTTGCCTTTAGTTTTTTTCACTTAGAATCTACCAAGCACGTGCCGTATCTGTTTATAGGCTGGTTCCACATATTTTTACATTTTAACAGTTGTTTCTAAACCTGGAAGTACTTTTTAGATTTACAGAACTGCAAACCTAGTAGAGAATTCCCATCTAGCCTGTGCTGAGCTATCGTAAAGTTAACATCTTACATTAACTATGCTGCCACCTTTATCAAAACTAAGAAATTGACCTTGATGCAGTACTGTTAGTGAAATTATGGATTTTATTGGGATTTTATCTGTTTTTAACCCAGTGTCCTTTTCTCATTCCATGATCCAATTCAAGATCCTGCATTTTTTTTCTTAATTCTTTTTTACATCTGTGTATTAGTGAGCATGTGCGATAAGTAATTCAGCCACTCACCTATGCTTGGACATGTAGGTAGTTTCTGATATTTTGCAACCCCCCCAAATATATATATATATTCATATATATCATATTAGTCACTTTTCCAATTGCTGGGTCAAAATACTTGACATAAACAACTTAAAGGAAGAAAGTTATATTTGGCTCACAGTCCATGGTTACCTGACTCCAAGACAGAAATCAAATGGTGTAAAAGACCTGGTGGAAGAAAGCTGCTCAACCCATGACAGCCAGGAAGCAGAGAGAGACAGAGAAAGGAGGAGGTGGCGACAAGAACATACTCTTCCAGGTCATAACCCCAGGGGCCCCTCCTCCAGCCATTAATCAGTGGATTAATCCACCCCTGACTGGAGTGCACCCATGATAGACACTTTCAGGAAGCCTCACCTATGAACACGAGACCTGTGGCACTACCTTTAAATCTGTCCAAAACGTGTGTATTTTTATATTATTGAGGTTGGATCGCTAAGTCCCACATAAAAGGGTGTAAATGCATATGTTTTGTGAATATTTCCAAATTCCCCACTATAGGAGTTCTGCTGTTGTACATTCCTGCTGGCCTCACCAACAATGTGAATTATCAAGCTTTTGCATTTTTGCCAGTCTGATAGGGAGAGAAATACTTTGTAGGTAGTGTTTTAGTTTGTATTTATGTCACTCATGAGAAGCTGAAAATCTTCTCATAAGTTTAAGGACTGTTTTTTGTATCTCTGTGGGTAAACTGCTTGTGTCTTTTACGTATTTTATAGGACTTTTGATCCATTTTGCTTCTTCATATAGAATGGCCATTTGCCCTTCATTGGTGGTATGTGTTCTAGAAATTCTCCCTCAGTTTGTCATTTTTCTTCTAACTTTGCACATGACAGTTATGTCACACAAGTTTTTAAATATTTTCTTCACCAATTTTAGAAATCTTCCTGTGATAAAATCTGGATTTTTAGACATACTTTAAAAGTCGTCTTTACACCCAGGGAAAGCAGGAACTGAGGGAGATATCCTGACAAAGCAGTTTTCATTCAAATTCCACAGAGAATCCATTTTGTTTTGTTTTTCTAATTTACTAAATTTCTTACACAAACTTGTAGTTGTTTTGGAATCAGAAAAGAAAGTTAAAAATACAAGTGGAATCGCTTTATTTTTTAAGGTCTGACGTTTTTGAAGGAGAGAGATGAATTTGAATGACCATATTAAAATGGCTACCATGGGAGAAGCTCATGCAGTAACACCAGCCTCTTCCTTCATTTTCGCCCTGTCTACCCCTCAAATGAGTGTTTATGCATTGCATCAAGATTAGTGATACAAAATTTTCCTCCATCCTTACTTGAGAAATTAGATGAATAGTTTAAAAGGTAAAATTTGACTGACAGGGACATTGGGATAAAATTGAATAATTGAGAACTATCTTATGGATGAAGCCTAGTTTTCTATCTGCTTTTTATTTCTAAGTCATGTATATGAATTTCTGGGAGTCATGTACATAGAGAGAGTCTGATGGGTCCTGACTGGCTCACATAGGAGAGGTTGGATGAAAGCGGTTTGCCAAGTGAGTGTGGGGAAGACAGAGATATGGAGCAGTATCTATGTCTGGGGCCACTGGGCCACTGCAGGTTCTCGGGGACCAGTACCTCTCACAGTCCGCTCAAATAGTTTCATCTTTGGGAAAATGGCACAAAAAAGAGCTGTAGGAGGAAGCCAGAGCTTGAAAGTGACAACACTTAGGAAAACGAATGAGTGGATAAATTAATCAAGGACAAATTACGCCAAATAGCCTTTCTTCTCACCATTTACATTAACTGAAAATGTCAGATTTAATTCCCCTGAAACCAATTAGGAGGAGGCATTTCTATTAGTGCAATTATGTGTGAAAGAATATTATTTGTGTGCAAATGAATGGCTTATGTGTTCACAGATTGTCCAATAATTAAAAGAACCAACAGACTTGCATATTTTTGAGATCTGAATTAACTTTTATAAATTATAAATGTAATAGTTAAATACTGAAGCAACCGTGATCCAAATGTTATACATAGCATTTGTGTATTTATTCCTAGACTTCTACTGTGCCTATATTTTTTAATAGTAGTCTCAGTATATACATAATTTGTTACTATACTAATTATTTTCTTGACCAGTATGACTTTATTGCTATATAAATAGATATAAATCCATAATTGATTCTTATTACTTTTCTCTTTCTAGAAGTCAGCTTCTAGACTAGTGGGGGCAGGCAGGTACCAACAAAAGTAAGGTTAACATTTTGGTCTGTATACTTTTCCCACTAGTTCTGAGGGATTTTGGGGTTTTGTTTTATTTTGAAATAGATAACAAAATGCATATTAACAGGTTAAGTAGTTAAAACATTCTGGGACAACCCACTTTTTCAGTCCCTCTTCTGTCTCTCTTAGACAGAAGCTCTTTCTCTCAATAAAGTTTTCCTGCTCTTACAAGAAATTCTAATGAGGGAAAAACATTTTAATGGACCTTACTAGATACCGTCAGTATATTAGGATCCCTGTGTGATTACACATTGCTTATTTTCAGGATTGTAGTTATTTAAAGGTTGTAAAAGAGCCAGTACGGTGGTGCATGCCTGTAATCCCAGTGCTCTTAGAGGCTGAGGTAGGATAGCATGTTTGAATCCAACCTGGGCAGTTCAGCAGCGTGGTAAGATCTTGTCTCAAAGTAAACAAATTTAAAAAGGGCTGTGGAATATAGCTTAGTGTGAAGATCCTAGCTTCAGTCTTCAGTCCTGACAAAAATGGTTTAAGCTTTTGTAAAATAAGGAGGGGAAGAGGGGTTGGAAGGAGGGGAGGGCAGGGGAATGGAGAAGGAGGGGAATATATATAAAGGGAGGGGAATATGTGTAAAAGGAAATCCAGAAAAAGTTTAGTGTTTTAATTTTCTGTCTTTGATTATAAGGTTGAACATTCTTTCGTGTTTAACATGTTTTCGTACCTGCCGATACCATTTTGCATATTTAAATTAATACTGGACCTCTGACATATTTGGACTGTGTTAATTTTTCCAAAGTCATGAGGAACTGTTGCCTAGAACTAGCGTGCCAATTTAATGTTGTGTAGAACCCATAGGACTTATAGGAAGGAGATATTCCGTCCCTTTGTTCGCGCACCTGTTCCTGGCTGAGAAACTACAGCAAACTCAAAAAAGATTTGGCCTTCTGACTCTGTCTTTTCCTAAAGGTGGGGAAGTTGTAGGAACCTAATTAGCCTTAGGTTGAAATTAGTTTGCCTGGGCTGGTCTGTTAGTGTATTAGACCCTGAAATATTGCAGTGACATTTCTCAATTCCATAGTCCATGAAAATGTGTTTTTTTTAGCAGATCTTTAGGTAGTGTTGACTGAAATGAATGTATTTCCACTAAAAACCAGGGGCATCATTTGGTAGTTACACATCAGTCCCTTCTGATGTTCTCCCTACTGTGACTTCCAGCAAGAGCCCCACTGCAGGGGCCCAGAAGAAGCTTAGACCACAGGGTCTCCAGGTTCACTGTGAGGTTCTGATCATGGTGTTGCCTGCAGACCCCATGGCTGCCTGCTCTTAGTGGGTACTCATTTATTTCTTCTTTTATTCTTACGTCTATTTTTTTTATCCTCCTCTAAAGGCATTGGCAACTTTGAAATGTCATTGGTGTGTTTGACAACTGGAAAAGTGATTTTTCATGCCTTTTCCTTTCCAAACTGACCTCCCCCGCCAGAGATGTCGCTTCTGTTTGTCTGAAATCCCTAATACATATCGCACTCTGCCAACGTCATTTGTCTCTGGGAATAGCCCGGGTCCAAAACTGATCTCTCATCTTTATCAAGCTCTGTCCATATCCCTGCCCTGTTTGTTCATGAACATCAAAAGAAATTAGAGGAAAAGAACTTTACTTTAAATATTTTCCCATTGTTATTTCCAGTGTCAAACTCTCTGTCATCCTGGCGATGACAGATAAGGAATCAGGAACTTGGTGCTTCATTTCCTAAGCATTGTCCACTCTGAAACAATCATAAATTTAAAATATGCAATTTTGGATTACACAATAAAGGCCAAGATATGGCACTTTAAGATACATTAAAATGTGGGAAGGCAACAAATTCTCACTTAATATTTTATTGAATATCCTTCAGATGCTCGATACTAGTGATGAAAAATGTCCAAGACATTCATTATGTTTGGCACCCATGTTTAATGGTAGACAGAATTTTGCCAACATATAAATAAGAATGTTGAAGTGAGGTTGACTTAGTTTCACAGGAAACGTGATGTTTAGGCCACACCTGGAAAGCTTGACTTGGGCAGATGGAGAAAAGATCTTGGGATGCGAGAGTTGTGCTGCCTTCCTTTTCCATTCCTGGATGGTCTGGGGAAGTTTTCAGGGTGGGAAGGTCAGATCTGTGTTCCAGAAGAGGCTGTCAGGAATCAGAGTGTGCAAAGAGCCTGGAGAGAAGATCCCTCGGAAGCCGTCACAGGAATTGTGTCATGAAACGAGCCCACTGTGTGAACCGTGTGCCTAGGCAGGGATTCCTAGTAGAAGAAAAGGTTGAGCGCTTTCATGGGCTGTGTTTGTGTTAGTAACCCCACTGTTTGCTGTTGTTCAGGATCTGAGCAATCCTCATTTTTAACCAGCGTTGAATGATGGTGGGGATTGAGGAAGACTGAAACCTTCCCTCCTGCCATCACACCTCATTATACAACTGCTGGCAACATAGGAGAAAGGTCTGCAGTGCAGATAACATTTAGGAAATTAATTTCAATACAGAATGCTGAAAGAGTTAATGATACTGTGGGAGAAAAGAATCATGGTCAGAAGATTTACAAGAAGGCAGGAGGGATTAATTAAACCAGACTTTGGGATTTGATAGGATTCATGAAACAGATCTGTCTACCTCTGGATTTTAGACACACACAATGGCAGGATCATAGGCAAGAAGATGGGAAAGCAGGATTGATGCATTTAGACCCATAGGATGCTTCAGGCTCACTGGCCAGAGTTAATGGGAAACTTTAGTGGGATGTAATATAGTGAGGGAAAAAATTACAGTGTTGGTTGGTCCCAAAATGTGCATGGTCTAGAATTTTAGACTACTGGTAGTGGAACCACTCAGAATTTTGATAATGTTTGAATCAAACTTAGTTTTAAGAAGACAAATTTGTGGGAAACATTAGTGATACACCAGAAGCATAAGAAACCCAAGGCTGGAATTCCAGGTATGAGGAAGCAGTTAGAACTTTCTGCCCTAGGGATAGAAGGGAACATGGTCATGTCAAGGAGAATTCAGAGCTTTACTCAAACCCACAGCTACAAGTGACAATGCTGAGATCCGAACCTGTCACATTGCAAACTGCATGAATTTCAGTGCTACCTTGAGATCAGAGAACATGAAGATAAGTTAGGGAATTTGGTGATTACACAAAGGTGGAATTTGAAGGAGCTTTTTTTTTTTTTTTTAACTCAAGAACTACAGAAGGCAATTTTCTGGGAATTGTGGAGAAATTGAGAAACAGTGAAATGACTTCTTCGGTTATTGTGATGATTAAACAGTAGGATAAGCCAGTCTCTTGCTATACAAATATTTCATTTCTTGCCCAGATGTCAGGAAAATCCCCAGTCTAATATCGTCTTTGCTGTCATATTCATTCTTTGCCTGGTCAAGTGATGATCTGTCTAGGTTTCCCCATGTTATGACTGGCCCTGAGCCAGTGAGTCTGGCCAACTCTCAGCTAGTGACACACGTTTGATTTTCCTCTCCTCTCTCATCCTTTTGTGATGATTTTCTTGCTCATTTTGAGAAAGGCAGAAATTGACCTTTGGGATGGATGACTCTAGCATGATTAGCTTAACAAAAACAATAGGACAGCAAAATGCTACATCTCATTTGTGAGATAAAACTATGAACCTCATTCTAAATGAGCTCAATAAAATAATTAGCACCAGTAAAACCCATACTGCCCTCTGAAAAATCACTTAGTACACTAATGCTACTTGCTAATTCAGAGTTTTGGGATGGAATTCATCACTTAGAAAAAATTCTGACCTCTCAAGTTGCTCATCTTGTCCCAAAACACTCAGCTTTCGTCATAATCACGCCAGTTGTGTCTTTGTGTTTGGTCCTCAATTAGGGCATCATTGCAGAATATAACAAGATCAACGATGTGAAGGAGGATGACGACACGGAGAAGTTTAAAGAGGCCACCGTGAAGTTCCACAGGCTATTTGGGATGCCCGAGGAGGAGAAGCTTGTCAACTACTACTCTTGCAGCTACTGGAAGGGGAAGGTGCCCCGGCAGGGCTGGGTGTACCTCAGTATCAACCACCTGTGCTTTTATTCTTTCCTTATGGGAAGGGAAGGTAAGTGGTCTAGCCTTTCAGAGGGAAGCTTGGGCCAGTCTCCTGAGGCCTTCTCTGAACTCATAAACAAAATACACCCCACAGGGTCAAAAGTAAATCTGTAGGGCTGGGGATTTAGCTCAGTGGTTTTGCAGCCTGCCTCACAACCACAAGGACCCGAGTTCAATCCCCAGTATCCAAAAAAAAAAAAGGAAACCTGTAGATTTGACTGAGTCAGCCTGTTGTTGGCTTATGATTTAACAAGCAAATTCAGTGATTTGCCACTCAATAGTGTAAAGAAATAGGTCATTAAATAATAAAGACTCACTGGAAGAATAATTAATTTAGTAGATGTGGACTTAAATCTGTCATAGTTGTGATGTAGAATTTATAGTTTTAAGTATGGCTCCTAGAGTTAACAAGGCAATGAAGGTGGGCTTATAGACTCCAGGAATTCGGGGTGCTTAGGGCGTGCGGTTTCCGGTGCCTGGTATTGACCTGGCCTTGTTCTGTCTGCTTAGCTAAGCTGGTAATCCGGTGGGTGGACATCACCCAGCTTGAGAAGAACGCCACACTTCTTCTGCCTGACGTGATCAAAGTGAGCACTCGGTCCAGCGAGCATTTCTTCTCCGTATTCCTCAACATCAACGAGACATTCAAGCTAATGGAGCAGCTCGCCAATATAGCCATGAGGCAGCTCTTAGACAATGAGGGCTTTGAGCAAGATCGATCCCTGCCCAAACTGAAAAAGAAATCTCCTAAAAAAGTGTCTGCTCTAAAACGGTGCGTGATGGAGAATTTGAGTCTTACAGATCTTAGAAACCCAAATCCCGTCCACTTATTCACTCGCTCATTCATTCATTCACTTTAACCCTTTCTGGACAATTTCAAGGATTGTGAACACTTTTCTGGACATGGAATGGATACAGTACAAAAAAGATTGCCCCAGGCACCCCCAGTGCAATAAGAGGGACAAGGATGACCACTTCTGCGCAGTGTGCTGGGAACTGGGCTGGTCCTAGGGACAGTGTCATGTGCACAGGGGGAGCTTGGCCAGTGGACGGTGCTCTGGCTGGGCCTGTAGACGGTAGTACAAGTGACCCTTCCAGCACAATAGGGTGCATGTGAGAGGCAGGGGGTGTGCGTGGTGTGGGAAGCACAAGAGGAAAGTAAGTCCATCCCGTGGCTAAAAGGTGGCAGGACATGGGAAGAGGAGAGGTTTCGGAGAAGCCTCCAAGTCCAGATGTGGGAGGAGAGCTGGAGAGAAGTGAGGGAAGCAGATGTCTTCTATAAAGTGTGGCTGCCTGGACCTGTGGTGAGGAGTGGGGGAAGAGCGCAAGGGGTGTCGTGGCTCGCCTTTGATAGGGGTTGAGTCGCCTGCAGGACGTCTCATTAGCCAACAGTCCAGTAAGAAGTACGAAATCAGAAATCATGGGTGTGCAGGTGCTAATTGGAGTCTGGAAAGAGCTGCTTGTATTTAAAATGTCTTTCCTAATTTGAGACATGTTTTGACACCATGGTAAAGGGTAGATGGCAGTTACTGCCATGGATTAAGTAGCAGTGAAAGACACATAAAGGGAAATGGGCAAGTATCCACTGCTTTTTCAGGAAATTCAGCGGAATTCCTTTAAGAGGGGTAGTTGATTTTTTTGTAGAATGTAAGATCGGAACCCAGGATTCGGTGAAAGAGGCAGATGGATACAGGGACAGGAGAGAACCCACGGATGAAGCTCTAAGAGAAGGAGTAAAACCTCAATATGACCTCTCGTGGAGTGTAAGAAGGATGCTGATGTGTCTTCTTTTGACACAGGGAGAAGTTAAGAGTTCCCAAGAGCAAGGCAGAGGCGATTTCAGAAGTAGAGGGGAGGGTGGGAGAGAGCACCCACGTTCAGCTTTTGTGTTGGAGAGCCAGAAACTGGACCCCAGGGGCAGCAGTGGGGTAGAAGCTTCCGGGGAGAGGTTTGGACAAGGTAAAGCATTTGTGAGGGGAGGGATCGTACGCAACAGAAGACCCCGCTAAACTGGGAACCATAGTTGTCCACGAGTGGGCTGTTCCTGTGTCTTTTCATACTGTCTGTTTAGGGTGCACCCAGCAGACGCCTGTGGCTATTTGCATTCTCTCCGGGCATTGCCTTAAAAGATGAGGTAGGAAACGTGCCAAGTAGGAGTAAATGGGATGGCTTCTTTGTAAATGATGGCATCCTTTAAAAATGTTTTCTATTAGTGCGTATTCACTTCACAAAATACTAGCCTTCTCTGTGGCAATTTCATACACACCTGTGACCTTCTGATCAAACCCATTTCCCTTATCGCCCTCCTCTGCACGCTCCTGTTCCTTTCCTTTTGTCTAATAATAGCCTCTCTGGAATTGCTGCATTCTGTACAAAGAGAACACATTTCCTGTTCAGACCTAGTTTTTCCACAGTTACTTAGCATTTATAGATACCGACTGTCAACTGGCCACACAAGAGACCTAAACATTAAAAGAATTTTACGGTGCTTTGGGATCCTTAGGTTAGAGTAGCTAACGATGGGCGAGACACCTAAAGAGTACAGGAGGCAAAAGGTGGGCTGGGGGCCCGTCGTGGCTGCAGCATTCAGAACGTATGGAAACATCTTTCTTGTGTGAGATGAATTACAATTTTTGCTTTCCAGGGATCTCGATGCCAGGGCGAAGAGTGAGAGGTACCGCGCCCTGTTCCGGCTGCCCAAAGATGAAAAATTAGATGGCCACACAGACTGCACCCTCTGGACTCCATTTAACAAAATGCACATTTTGGGGCAAATGTTTGTCTCCACAAATTACATCTGCTTTACCAGCAAGGAGGAAAATTTATGTAGCCTCATAATCCCACTCCGTGAGGTATGTACGTATCGGGTCAAAAGGGATATCGGGGGAGTTTCATTTGTAATCCTCTTCTGCGTGAACCAAGAATTTTATTTTACTTATTTCTGTTTCAACAGCCCTTGGTTGGCTTTTTAACCATTTGGTAAATGTTCATAATTTGTTGAAGGCACCTGTCACCCCTTGCTGTCAAAGCTGTGAGTCTAGGACCTGTGAGATCTCTTCTTCTAGAAACAGCCAGGTGCTTGTTAACTGTAGGTTTTTATTATTACCCAGGGGCGGGGAGGCTTACAGCTGTGCAGATGACTGCTGTTGAAGAGATAGCCAGCATTGGTGGTGCACATCTGTAATCCCCACACCCCGGGAGTCTGAGGCAGGAAGATCATCAGGTTCGAGCACAGCCTTGAAAACTTAGTGACTTATCAAGACCCTGTCTCAAAATAAAAAATACAGTAAAAAAGGCTGGGTGTGTGGCTCAGTGGTGCGAAAGCCCTGGGATCATTCCCCAGGATGTGGGGAAAAGATAGCTGTAGCTGTTTTACTTGGCGATCCTAACAGGAGAGCTTGTGCCCTGCCCTACGGGAACACAGGGAAACGCCAGGGTTGGCCAGTCGGCAGATCCTTTATGATGTTTCCAGGGGATGTCCCACGAGGGACAGGGCAGACCGGCTTAGGACTGGCCAGCTCGCAGTTTCCGGGCACAGCAGCTGCCCTGGTTGTCCCTGGCGTGATGACAGTGAAGCGATGGCCCTGTGTGAGCATACAGAAAAGGCAGCAGGTGGGGTGGGAACTGGTACAGTTTTCTCCTTAAAAAAAAAAAAAAAACAGTGCTGTTGAATCAGTGCTGCCTGGGGTGATGTCTCCACCATCAGGAAGGCCCCGTGATTTTTTGGAATAAAATGCAGAGACTAGAAAATATAGCTGTTTCATGTGGCTCACAGTCCAGGGCCCAGGGAGTCAGAAAGCCAGGCATCTGTCCGTCCATCTGGCCAGCCTCAGCCGGCTGTGTTAGAACCTCCAGGCTGCTTGCTGTTCACAGTGGCAGATTCCTGAGCCCATTCCAGATCTTCTGAACCCACATCTCATCTGTGTTTTAATCCAGTCCCCATCTGAGTCTCAGCCAGCAAAGTCAAAGGGATGTGATTGCTGATTGTTGTTCAGGGTGTGCGGGTGACTGTGGAATTGCCTGGCACGTGGCTGTGAGGGCTGGGGTTGAGTGGCACTTGAGGTTAGGTGATAGGGAGCGACACAGGGCGTGGACAGCCCAGTGAATTCTAGCCTGGCCATGCCCCTCACACCCAGTCTTCTTCCGGAAGTTGGAGAAGGGTTCAGGTCTCTCTCTCTGCCTTCTTTTATTTATTTATTTATTTACTTTGTAACCTGGATCGAACTCAGGACCTTCACTTGCGAGGCAAGCAATGGAACCACTCAGCTAAATCCCCTGCCCTTCTGCTTTCTTTTTTAAAAAAAAAATTACTTAAGCTGATTTACACTTTTTTATGTGTCATTATTATCACAGAACACTGGTGAAAGTACAGATAATTAAAAATAAAATTCACCCTTTGGCCCACTATTCAGAGACAACCACTGTTACTGTGTGATACAGCTTTCTGGGTATTTTCTGTGCTTTGCTACATGAATGTCATTTATATAATTTAGATATAAAGCAGGAGATTTTTTTAAGTTTCTTTAATAGTATATTTTAAACTGTCCCCTGAATCATTAGTCTGCTAAAATGTAATTTTTAATGACTGCATATTATCACACACACACACACACACACACACACACACACAATTTATTCATTTATGATGGTTTGACTTTTTCATTATTTCTAGCTTTTCCCCACTCATATGTATAATTTCATTAGTTACATGTTACAAATTCCAGAAGCTGATTTGGTGGATCAAAAATAATGTAAAATTGACAACTGGCCAATTCAGCTCTCTTTGTAATATAGTATCTATGAAGCTAGCGTTATACACATTTTGAGGCCAGGCTAAATTGGTGAGGGGTGAATTCCAAGGTGGCTAGATCAAGTGTATATACATTTGGTTATAAAGTGGACTTTATAACTTTTCCCAGCTGCTTTTCCTTCTTAGTCCTTGCCGATGCCTGTTACTAAACATAGTTCTCTTCGCCGAATTCTACATGTAATTTTCTTCATCAAATACTAGTACCAACTATGGCAAAGCAGAGTTACACGGTGTCGGTGATGCTAGGCGGTTTGTTATCAGTGGATGCCTGATTGCCTGATTGAGGGTACAGCAGGAGATGGAAGAATACTATACAAGAACAAGGACTAACGAAAACAAGAAAACACAGTTTATTATGGGTCAGGGGGCAGGAGTTCGCTGTTTCCTGGCTAAGACCATGAGCTGTGGATTACAGTATTTATGACTGTACAACATAGCAGGGGACAGATGTGGAGAACAGCAGGAATTGAGACACTGTTGGTCAGGCTATGAAAGGGAGGAACGATGCTTTCCCGTGAAGGACAGGTCACTATTAACAAGCCACATGGGTTGTCTTGCAGGTCGTAGCTAACAAGCCTTGTGCATCATCTTTAGCTAACGTTTGATCTTGGAGAAGGGCTGCACAGAGTCATACTTCCTCATCTGTAGTGTTTTTTTGCTATTAGAGATGTCACGACCTCATCAGTCATTTCGATCTCAATTGTGACCATTGGCATAGGGAAGTCCGTCTCTGATCACCTGCAGAAGGGTCATTGAGCAGGTCACACATAGGCCTTGAAATGACTCATAATTTTAATCAGTAGCTGAATTATCAGCCAATTTATAAGCTACTTCAATAAAACCTGATAGCCTGCTCAATGTGAATTCAAGCTGGCCTCCTGCAATCCAGAATGGCTAGGGAAACTCAGTCTAGGGCTAAGACTGTACCCCTAAGGGGCCATTTGTGCATCTGAGTGCATCAGCACTCTGTACCCAGAAGAGCAGTGTGAGAGTCTGGGAGTTGCTCTCAGGACCTCTGCCTCCTGTTGCCCACCTCCTGGTCCTGGGTCCAGCCCGCTCCACTTACATTTTAGCACCATCTAGGACACAGTAATTTGTGAAGGCTCCCTGCCCGTTATTGAGAGAATGGAGAGAGATGTTCCCCAGCCATTTTCCGCTTGCTGACTTTCCCGAGCGGGGCAGAGAGCATTCGGTCATCGTTCAATGTAACTCAAAGGAAAGACAATCAGGGGGTGACATTTAGGAATGAGGGGAGTTGTGGTTGGAGGCTGTGTGACTCGAAAGAAACGCTCAGTGCGACCACGCTTCCTTCCCTTACATCTGGTGAATCAGGGGTCCCTAACCCCGGCTAATGGAAGAGGCAGAGACTTAATGTAAGTTTTATTACCTTTAGTAACCAGAATGTCAGGAAAGCAGGGCGGGGGGTGTCCACGCTGTTCTCTCGGATCCATTCCCACCCTGAGCCGGGAACCTTCTAGAGCTGAGTTAAGCTGACTGGTGACCCGGCAGCCTCCCGGAACACCACACACAGCCTATATGGAAGGTCACTTGTAGGGTTTATGTGCGCTGTGAATTGATTCATTTAATTTCGTTATGAACTGAAATAATCTACTGGAGGTTCTTACTATACGGTGCACGTATTGCCTCGAGGCAGGCCAAATCGGCAGATGTTAGATGTTCAGAATCATGTTGCTATGGATTTTGAAGAAATTACAGGCAGCTAAAGTGATCTGATGAGGAGCCTCATCAGACAGAGATTCCAGATAGTTTCTTTTTTCCCCCAACCATAATTTACCTCATAAATGTTCAATATTAACCACCAAGACTTGATTAAACTCCAGTCTATTTTATAAGCCATGTTAGAAATGAAATTGCCTCATTACTCTGTGGAAAACTCATGTAGCTCTCTCCTCTCCTGATGGCACCAAGCTTATGTGACAGAATTTTACTAGAACTTATTGTCAGTAAAAATATTTTATAACCTGTGGAACATGTACATGTTATATGTGGGAGCTTTCTTGTTTCTCTTCCTGATTCCACTAGATAGACTCGGCCTGATTTTTATCAAGATCCACATAATATTCTGGGTTTTAGACACAAAATTTGAAATTGTAATTCCTTTGTCATCTGAGATTGAGCTCCAGACATTTAACTACCAAGAACCAACAAAAGTTTGATATTAGAAAAAGAACTTTTCCTCTAAAAATAAGCATTACCACAATTGTCAAGGCAAAATCCTTTTCGTGAAACAGTGGTTGTTTTTTCCATTTCTCTAGCAGTTTTTCATTAGAGGAGAAAAAAGCCTTTAATGTGCGCAAGTATCTCAGGGATTACTTTAAAACATATAGTTATATATTATATCTAAATATATTTATCACACAGGTATAAGGTATATTATATACTGCTTCGTACTTGAGGCTGTGCGACTTTTTAGAACACTTCAGTGTATTTTCTTAGGCTTGAGTGGGGAAAGTTTTTTTAAGGTTCTACTTTTGAGGAAATATATTCGTATGAAACTGACAGTGTACAAATTACAAATTAAAGCTGAGCCTGTCTAGACTGCTTGAAGATAGAAATGAAGATGAAAGATGGGGAGGGGAGGAGGGGGTGAAGGGAGGGCAGGGTAAGGGGGAAAAGATGAGAATCAAGACCTGTCATGTAGAGGTACAAGATCCCAACAATGAATGTAACTGTACTGTATCCCTAAAATGTACCAATAAACTCAATTAAAGCTGGGAAAAAAGAAAGAAATTAAGAGGAAAAAAATAGACATTTAGGTGTAAGAGAATCAAGCTGTCATGTAGAGGTACAAGATCCCAACAATGAATGTAACTGTACTGTATCCCTAAAATGTACCAATAAACTCAATTAAAGCTGGGAAAAAAGAAAGAAATTAAGAGGAAAAAAATAGACATTTAGGTGTATAGTAAGCACTGTTACAAATAAACCAAGTGCTTGTCTTGAGATGTTTTCCCCTAATGTGCTAAAGAAAATAGTTTTAATGCATTTTTCCTTGCTTCCAGTTGATGAAAATTCTATTAAAAATCACCCAAATAGGTCTTCAGCTCAGAACTAAGTCTGATGTTTCTATTCTTCCACTGTGATAGGCTGCACACGGACACACCCACTGCACACGTGATCTGCTAGTGCAAATAGAGCTGCAAGTAAGCTGCTTATGTCGTGTCTGTCCAGGAATAGATCATTGAAAACTGGGTGCAAAGCCCCCAGAAGGCCCAGTGGTGTTTTCAGCACTGTCCTTACATTAAGTGTAATAAAAGGGTCATCTGTCTTAGGAATGATGCAGCAGCAAGGAGTCCTCTCTCTATGGAAAATACAGAATTCATTATGGCAGCTTCTCAATCCGATACTGCTGATGTTTGGGGCCAGAATTCTGAGAGGGCTGCCTTGGCCCTCATACAGGGTGTTTTGTAGCATCCTGGCCTCTGCCTCCCTCCTTCTGTTAACCAGCAATGCCTTGATGTAAGTGTCTTGGCATTTAGAGGGGGATCTGTCCCTCTGTAGAACCACTGACTCCGACCAGGAAGACAAACTTCAGCTTGAATTGTCATGAGATGTTTTATTTTATTGGAACAGAGTCAGAGAATCTCAGATTGCTTCTGTGAAGCATGAGTGGTTCCCACAGCCATGAGTGCCCTGTTCCTGTTTAGTGCCACTTGTTGGCTACTCTCAGGTCACTCTGGAAAAAGTAAAATGCTTTTGTTCATGTTTCTTTGCAGGTGACCATTGTTGAAAAGGCCGACAGCTCCAGCGTGCTCCCAAGTCCTCTGTCCATCAGCACCAGGAACAGGATGACCTTCCTGTTCGCTAATCTGAAAGATAGAGACTTTCTCGTGCAGAGGATCTCAGATTTCCTGCAACAGACGACGTCTAAGATATACTCAGACAGAGAATTTGCAGGAAGCTACAACAGTTCTGACGATGAGGTCTGTGGGAGCCCCTCCCCCTCAAAGGGGTTGGTTCTGTCTTGTTGCTCTGCCTCAGAGTATTCCCTTCCTCATCTGTTTTGCTCCATCTCTGAGTTTTGCATCTACCCCGAGGGCCAGTGCAGTATCTCAGCAAGATCTCCTTTAAGTCTCCAGGAGTTGGTGTTGGGGATTATAGAGCTGGAGTAATCTTCAAGATCATTTGTTCTACCCCTTTTTGTTTGTTTGTTTGTTTTCAAGATGCAGCCTCATTATTTGGTCCAGGCTGGCCTTGAACTTGTTATTTAGCCCAAGTTGGCCTGAACTCGTGATCCTTCTGCCTCAGCCTCCCGGAGTGCTGGATTTATCAGCACACACCACCCCATTCCTGGCTCCATTGAAGTTATTGTTAAGCGACTTGTCCTTGCCACATAGCAAATGACTTGTCCATAGAGTAACGTCATTGGGAATGATATGGGAATCACTGAAAAGTCTCAGAACTGAAATAAAGCGTCACAGTGATGGTTTCACTAATGATAAAATACATGCTGGGTCTCTGTTGAATTAGGTCTTGGACCAACATTCAGGGAAATAAGACCACTGAGAAGAAACAGTATGTGACTGGTCAAAATGATAGAGCAAGTTGCTTGTAGCTGAAACATGTTTTTAAAATAGTAAGGTTATCAGGCATAGAGGTGCATGCTTGTAATCCTAATACTTAGAAGGCTGAGACAGGAAGATTACTATGAGCTTTAGGCCAGCCTGGGCTACATAGTAAGTTTAAGACCAGCCTAAACTACATAATGAGACCCCATCTGAGGAAAAAATAAAAGATGATAATGGCAAGGTCACACATAACTTCCCCATCCCTATCCACCTGGTCTGCTTACATGGGCATTTTGGGGGCACCAGAAAGTAAAGAGGAAGTGCCATAGTCCTGTTAGTTTCTGACTCAACGACAGCATGCTTTGCATACATGCAAATCAGAGTGAGAGACAGACAGCCAGCCACATTGTTGCACTAATGCATCTAATTACAAAGGAACCTGTTATGAGTTGAAATGCTATAGCCTGTGACACCTGCCTCTGTCCAGTCCCAGCCACAATACTCACTTGCTGTGTTTCTTGTAGTTCTTTGCAATGGCAGGAAACTTGCAGGAAAACACAGTGTAGTTACTGCTGTCTATCCGGAGGGCCCTGGAGAGGAAGGTCCTAATGCCCATTCTTCCAATGCCGTGTTCCTCTCTGCCCGGCAGGTGTATTCTCGGCCCAGCAGCCTCATGTCCTCCAGCCCCCAGAGAAGCACGAGCTCTGATGCCGACGGTGAGCGCCCGTTTAACCTAAATGGCAACAGTGTCCCCACGGCCACACAGACCCTGATGACTATGTATCGGCGACGGTCTCCTGAGGAATTCAACCCAAAATTGGTGTGTGCCCCTTGGTCTTTCCTGAAGCCTTGTATACTGTATGAGAGTAATACCATTGAAAGTGTTAAACATAAGTAAACTCATAAAAGTTATTGGAAAGGAAGGTTGTCCTCTAGGCAAAGCAGCTTTTATCTAAATATGTCACAGGGTTGCAGAGTGGCTTAATGGACGGAGAAAGGAGTTATCCAGGGTGTGATTGACTTTTTTGTTTCTGGTTTTAACTGTTGGGTAAGTCAGCCAGCAAGTAAGTACACGGTTTCTTAGCTCCCATTAGGAACACATTAACTCACTGTCACTTGGGAGTGTAGACATAAACCATCAATAGAACAGGCATTGTATTGACCCATTTCAGGTTCGTGACTATGAGGAGAGAAAGCTTCATAGCAGCCACAGGCTATCGTAGATGTGTAAAACTGGGGAAGAAGAAAGGGGATTCTGCAGTTTTTGTTCTTGTTGTTCTCTATTCAACAGGGGAGATGTTCCCAAGTTCTGTCATAATTCTCTTCATCCTCCAAACACTTTGGGATGAAATAACATTTCATTATGTCTTTCAGGCCAAAGAATTTCTGAAAGAGCAAGCTTGGAAGATTCACTTTGCTGAGTATGGTCAGGGGATCTGCATGTACCGCACGGAGAAAACGCGGGAGCTGGTGCTGAAGGGCATCCCAGAGAGCATGCGCGGGGAGCTCTGGCTGCTGCTGTCAGGTATGGTCCGGCTCCGAGCGCGGGTGCCAGTGTGTGGGACCCCGGCTTCCTTTCCCCATTGCACTTCCTGTCACCTCAGGGCAGAAGTCCATGCACACAGGCAACCCCCAGTTCAAAGCTACATCTCATTTCCTCACCAGAGTGCCAATGTCCATCAGTTACTCTTCTTTTCATACAAACTCAAGACCCCCTTATCCACAGGGATGCATTCTGAGACCCCTACTGAACCCAAATTCCATGCCCCCCTCATCCACAGGAGATGTGGTGCAAGATTCCCTGACTCCCCGGGTGACACCAAGCCCTATTTATGCTGTGTTTTTCCCTGTATTTACATACCTGTGATAAAGTTGAACTTATAAATTGGGCACAGTAAGAGGTAAACGTAACAAATAATAAAATAGAGCAATTAAAACAATGTACTGTAAGTTATTTAAAACTTAATGACTGCTTCTTTCTAGAATTTTCCACTTTAATATTTTAACTCTTCAGACAACCTGACACTGATTCCATCCACCCCGGAGCATCCACAACGCCTCAGGGGTCTCTCCTGTGCCATGCATTCCTTTGGGTTTCACCAGCCTTTAATATATAAAGCAGTTGCTGGTGTACAGCCTAAAATGTAATCATTCTGAATAGAGTTCTCTGAATGTTTTCTTATGCACCTGAGATAGTTAGACACAAGTAACACTAGTAAACCCTTTTACTTAAAAAATGACATTAAAGCTAAAAGAACAGTTACAAGATTTATAGGAAAGCCTTTTCAAAATACCTGAAGGGCTTTCTAATAGTGCTTTAAGTTGTAAAATTGACCACGGTGGGATGTCAAAACAGCTCAGAAGTCAGAGGTAAACTCCTGCAAAAGATTAGCTTTATGTGGTTCACGTGAAGGCAGTTCGTTCTGTCCCCACTTGCTTGCCCATTTCTGCATTTTTCCAGGGTAAACAGCCCACACCCTTTCCTGTAAAAGCCCTGATTTGAGTCGGCTCATCTCTAATCACTGATCGAGCCCAGAAGATCAGTATAGTACAGCTCCTTCTCTCTTCTTTGTGTTCACTGAGTCACTTTGTCAACCAATTGGATTCTGATCACTGACGGGGTAAATGAAAAATTCCATTTTTATCCTCCTTATTCGAATTAGAAGTTATTTACAGCCACATTTTAGATGACAGTAAAACCCGGAACAAGCAGCGGGAATCCTGCGGGCCATGGCAGGACAGAGTCCTGTGCAGAGATGCGTTCAGGGTTAAACTGCAGGGTTTCCTTTAACAGCGATGGGCAGTGTGCAGCCACAGGGTGACCTGGCCTGCGCGCTGCCCGTGATCCCACACTCACAACGTGGGCTGCACGCGGAGAGCTCAATGTCTCCTAGGGGAGCCCACCTTGGGGCCCCTTCTGCTTCCCATGGCCCTGAGGACCACTGCCCCAGGGCCTGGGCTCGGTGAACCCTCTCCGGTGAAGCACAGGTCATCTGCCATGGGAACAGAGCAAAAGCCAGTTTGATGGTGCCATCCACTAGGCTGCCTTGTCCAGGGCAGGCAGACTGGCCAGGCTGGAGTTTTCAAGACCGATGAGGGACAAGGACTGGGCCTTGTGTATTCTAAGTTATGTGTGTGGAAGTTATACTAAGATATGACTGGACATCATGAATTGTGAAATTAAATGGTTCTTAGTATATTCACAGAATTATATAGTGATCAGCACAGTTAAATTTTGGAGCCCTGTCATTATTCTCCAAGAAAACACCTTATACCTTTTATCTGTTACTCTGTTTCCCCTCAAGACCTTTCCCATGCCCAGGCCACTACTGATCTACTTCCTGTCTCTGTGTTTGTCTGCCCTGAGCCTGTCACATAAAGGGAATCATATGATACTACAGAGGGTTTCTTAACTAACTTCCCTCCCATGGTTATCAAGGTTCGGTCATGTTATAATATGCGTCAGCGTTTTATTTCTTTTTATTGCCAAATATTGCCCCTTTTGTGAATACGCTAGATTTTATTTATTAACATTTAGATTGTTTCCACTCTTTGGCTACTGTGGCTAATAATGGTGCTACAAAGACTTGAGTGTAAGATTTGGGTGAACACATAATTTCATTGACCTTGGGTGTGGACATGGCAGTGGAATTTCTGGCACACATGCAGACCTTATGGTTACGTTTTTTTAAGGAACTCCCAGGGTGTTTTCTAAAACTGTTGATTCTTCCCACAACCCCACCAGAAATAACTGTGTAAGAGTTCCAATTTCTCCACATCTTCACCAGCGCTGCTGCTTCTTCTTGTTGTTTGGTTTTGTTTTTTGAGAGAGACTCACTGTGTAGTTCAGGGTGACCTTGAACTCACTCTGTAGCTGAGGCTGGCCTCAAATTCATGGCAATCCTCCTGCTTCAGCCTCCTGAGTGCTGGGATTGCAGGTGTGCACCTATTGATCCAACTTACCGGTCCTTTTCTTACAGTTAGCCCAGTGAGTGCAAGGTGATTTTTCATTATGGTTTTGATTTTATTTCCCTGATGACTAATGATGCTGGGCATATTTTTATGTACTTATTGGCCATTTGTGTATCGTCTTTGTAGAAACATCTGCTCAGATCCTTTGCCCAGTTTTCGTTAGGTCATTTTTCTTTTTTATTTATTGAGTTGTAAGAGTTTCAAGGCCTATTTTAAATATAAGTCTATTATCAGATTTTCAGACTTTCTCATTCTGTGGGCTTTTACACTGGTTAGTAAACTTTGAAGCACAAAAATATTTCACTTTTGATGAAGTACAGCTTACCTATTTTGTTCTTTTGTTGCTGTGGTTCCATGGCAGGAAGATTTGTGCCTGTGCTTTCTTCTAAGGCTTTTATCGTGTTGGCTCATTGATCCATTTCAAGTTAATTTTTTACTTGGTGAGGTAATGGTCTACTTCATTCTTCTCCATACGGAGAGCTATTTGCCTAGGATCCTGTGCTGGAAGTTGAAAGTCTATGCTTTTATCCCTTGGATGTTCTGAGCACCCTTGTCAGAAATCGGTGGGCCACAAAAATTAGAGGTTGTTCTATGCTGTCAATTTTAGTCCATTGATCTACACCTGCACAGTCTTTGTTACTTGTAGTAAGCTTTAAAAATCAAGAGGTAGGAGGCCCCTAGTTTTGCTATCCCTTTCAAGATTGTTTTGGCCATTTTGAGTCCCTTAAATCTCTACAAGAATTTTAGGATCAGTTAATCTCCACAAGAAGGACAGCTTCTTTTTGGGGGAGTTGGTATTATGTTGAATCAGGAGATCAGTTTGGGGAGTTTTTCTTATCTTAATAGTATTAAGACTTCTAATCTATGAATACAGGATGTTTTCCCATTTATTTTGGTCTTTGTTAATTTTCTCAACAATTATTTATAGCTTGCAGTGTATAAGTCTCACACTCATATATGTTCATTGCCAAATGTTTTATTATTTTTGATCCTAAGTGGAATTGTTTACTTTTAAGGTATATAATTGATTTTGTGTATTGATCTTGGGTCCTGCAGCCTCGATGAACTTTATTCCCCTGTGGTTTTTCTTTGCATTTCTCTGATGATCAGTGATATTGAGCATCCTTTTATATACTAGTTGGTTATTTGGGTGTCCTCTTTTGAAACAATGTTTATTCATTTTCTTCACCTATATTTAACTGTAGCCTTTAATTAACTTTATTTTCCCTTGCTATCAAGTTTTATAAGTTCCTTATATATTTTTTTATTTTGAATGCTTATTTATCAAATAAAAGGCTTGCATATATTTTCTTTAATCCTGTAGGTAGTCTTTGCATTCTGTGGTTATTTCCTTTGCTGCATAGATCTTTTGAATGTGATATCATCTTAACCTTTTTTGTTGCTTTTTGTTTTTGGTTTCTTTGTTTGCTTGCTTTTGCTCTCAGTGCCTTTTGTATATGATTAGTGTCACATCAAAAAAAAAAAAAAAATCATCCCAACCCAGTGATGGCGAACCTTTTAGAACTTTCAGGGATACAAACAACCTGTGCCGTAGGTTCACCACCACTGCCCTAACCAATGTCAAGAAACATTTTTCCTGTTTTCTTCTAGTAGTTTTATGATTTCAGCTCTTCTGTTTAAATTTTTAATTCATTTTGTGCTGGTTTTGGGATGTGATGTTAGAGCACCATTTCATTATTCTTCTTGTGAATATCTAGTTTTCTGAACAGTAGTATAAATTTAGATTTAGATTTAAATATTTGAACCCAGAGCCTTCCCACTGAGTTATATTCCCCATACTTTTCTGTTGTTTTTGTTTTCTTGTTTTTGGTTGTCTTGATTTGGTTTTTTGGTTTAGTTTGGGGTTTTTTTGTTTTGTTTTGAGATAGGGTCTTACTTTGTAGTCCAGGCTGGTCTTGAATTCACTGTGTAGCCCAAACTGGCCCAAACTCATGATGATCCTCCTGTATCAGCCTTCAGAGTACAAGGATTACAAGTGTGCACCATCATGCCCAGCTACGCCCTGGTTTTTATTGGTATGTTTGTGACACTCGTCTTGGGGAATCGGTGCATATCCACGTCACGTCTCAATCATTTGTACTTCCCCTTCGCTTCTGGCCCTCTCTTCTTTCCCCATCTCCAAACTCCCTTCCCTCTCTTCAGGAACTTTCATCCAAGTACTGTATCGCAAACCAGTGATTCTCAGCCCAGCTCCCATCCCCATGCTCACCACAAGAAGCGGGGGTGGGAGGGAGGCGCTCTCATCCATAACACGAGCCCAGCCTTCTTGGGAGCCCCCTCACCAGAGCCTGCAAGTTCAAAAACCCCTCCGAGTAGCCTACAACCCCCTTTCTTTCTCAAATGCCCTATAAATCCTTTACAGCCCAACCTTTGGCACAGTTCGCAAACTATCCTGAGAGGCATCCTTTACCAAGTGAAATCTTAAAAAAAAACTGTTAAAGTAAAAGCCAAGCTGCTGTGGTTGTAGAGTGGTGAGAGGGTGAAGGCCTAGCCTGGCTTTTCTGATGACTTCCCCTTCTGTACCGTCTCTGGAAGCTCTTCAGCACACAGTGGGTAGCTTGGAATTCTGCATCTGAGGGGGTTTGTGTGTAACCGCTTTTCTATGGAACTGAAAGAGGGAAATGGACCACATGTGGATTAACTGGTCTAGCCACCATCCACACACGCCACATCTGTGTGATCTCCTCTGATTTTGCAGGTTTCCTTTGAGTCATCGGGTCACAAAGAGGTTCCGTCAGTAAGCAGTGGCTGCAGACCAAAAGGCGGGCTCCCACCTTATTGATGTTGTCTTCTGCGTGTTTCCCAGGGGCCATCAATGAGAAGGCCACGCATCCCGGGTACTATGAAGACCTGGTGGAGAAATCCATGGGGAAGTACAACCTGGCCACGGAGGAGATTGAGAGGGACTTACACCGCTCTCTTCCAGAGCACCCGGCCTTCCAGAATGAAATGGGCATTGCCGCTCTGCGCAGAGTCTTAACAGCGTACGCTTTCCGAAATCCCAACATAGGGTACTGCCAGGTAAACGTTATAGCGTGTTCATACACTTACATTGTATTTTGTCTTATTAGCCAGTAAATAATGTAGAAGAAAGCCTGTGGTTGATGGAGCTAACTTTGTACCAGGGAGTCTCAATTTCGGCACCACTGGCGCCGTGGATTGGTCAGTTCTTTATTGTGGGGCTGTCCTGGGCTTTGTAGGGTATTTAAGGAACCTCCCTGGCCCTGACCACTCGATGCCAGTACAACTTCCCAGTTGTAACAATCAGAATCGTCGCTAGACGTGGCCAATCAGCCTGGGTCGAGAACTACTCTGAGACAGGATCCGCAGGACCAGCGTTCCCTCTCCGGATCAGCCACTGCCTGGCTGGGCGACCCGGTAGAGATGCTTCTGACCTCTCCCAAGTGTGGTGCTTTCTTCGTAGGTTGCTGCCACGCTCCTCCTTGGAGTCTCTGTAACCAGTGTTGTCCTTGAGAATACAGCTTTGGAATGCCAGAGTTATAGTTTAACATACACATAAAATAAATATTTCACTTCATATAATAACAACCAAAAAAATGCTGTCCACACACCAGCTAAAATCGTTTCTTGTAGTGTTGGTAAAGAGACAATTTGGGTACCACCCAGATAATGTGACCTGAAGTTCAAAGACTGCTTCATCAGAGGCTTTTCTAGACTGTCCAGCTAAAAGCTGAGGAAGACCTAACTGCTGCTCCTGTACACACACACGCACACGCACACTTGTCCCCCTTGACACCCTTCTTTATCTTTGTGATAGCGCTTACTTTAAATATGCCCCCACATTGATGAATTAACCTTTACGTCCTTGCTTTCCTCCCAGATGCCCGCATTTCAACCCTGTGAGACTTCATCGTTCTGCCCTATCTCCTCCGCCCCCTACCTCAGTTCCTACTCCACACCCTGTTACAAAGTAGCACCTTGAAAAGCCTGTCTCTAAGGAACCGACTGTGACCATGATCATGGACTAGAACCGACAGGTTAATTCTCAAGTGGAATGTTAATGATTCCACTCAGGAAGATGTGGAGAGTCAGACTTTCAAGAAAGAACCCATTAGACCAGAATACCTTTTTGGAAATTTGTGCTGTAGAAGTCTGATGAACAATTACAGGTTTCTAGAAGATCAAAAGAAGCCTAGGAGAGAGTTGGCTTCAAATATAGTAGAATTCACATTTATCTTTTGATCTTCCTTTTTAATTAAGAGGGCTATTAAAATAGTTGAACTGTTGAGCAGTTATGAGCTGATAATATCTTTTAATAAAATAAGGTTTCTTTAGAATTTAAATTGCTGTTACTTATCGGGACCATCTTGCCCCAGATGGAAATAATGGGACGGTCTCTAACTTTGAGAGGTTTCCTTGTTGTCTTCAGCGAGCCTGGAATATTTGGTTATAGAAACCATTGTGAAAGGTGAAAAAGGAAATATTTACCTCTCGGAGGTAAGGATAAAGAGTGTAGTACTGAGAGATGTCAGCAGGTTGTTGAAAGCTTCAGTTAGCCTTTGGGCAGTTTTAAAAAATGAAAAATCTACCTATAGCACATGTTAAGGGTTTGTCCGGTGCATATCAGGGCTAATGAAGATCCTTAACAGTCATTGGCTCAAAAGCTAATGATTTTCATGTTTCTAAAAGGTCACAGAACAAAACAAAACCCAGAAGAATATTGACAGTGTAGTCTGCAACACCTAAGAATTCTGTTCTTTGACAGAAAGAGTTTGCCAGCCCCATGAGAACGACTCAGTCATTTTTTTCAGGTTAATGAAACAGCTTATCTTTTAAAGTGCATTTGATGTATTTAAGACATAGTTGGTGACATTGTCTTTCATCCCGTTAGGCCATGAATATTGTCACCTCAGTGCTACTCCTTTACGCCAAAGAGGAGGAGGCCTTCTGGCTGCTGGTGGCCCTGTGTGAGCGCATGCTTCCGGATTACTACAACACCAGAGTTGTTGGTATGTGGGGAAGCGGTTAACATCTTAACCTGTGCCTCCCAAAGAGATGCTGTTAGAGCCATACCAGCCGGCACACTGTTTCCAATCACTGCTAGCCAAAAGAGCTCCAGTTTTCCACTATGGAAGAGAGAGAGCTTGAATAAATATAAACTATGAATAAGGCCTACAGAGCCTAGAAGGATTCACATATATCACTGTCACAGAAATTTTTTAGAAAACACTATATGTAGGTATCACTCTTAACATGTGAGAGTTATACCAAGGGTATCAACCACTAAAATATTTAGCCCCACCCTGAAATTATTTAATAAAGAAGATGGAAACCAGCAGTTTTCAGAACAAAAGTTTGTCTGGAGTAGAGAAGATAGCATATAATGGTTTGTCCAAAGTTAGTTAAAAAGACATTTTTCAAAACTGGCTTTTTTGCAAAAAAAGCAACCATTGAATTATTGCTGTTATTGCTTGTCAATCCTTTTAAGTACCAGATATTTCATTTTAGCAGACCAAGCTCCTCACTGCTGGTGTAGTACAATGTATGCTTTATGTTTCCCTGTTCTGTTCTGTTTGTATGTATGTATTTATAAACTTTTTTCAAAATCTGATTGATCAAAATATTTTGTAGGGCTGGGGATTTAGCTAAGTGGTGACGCTGTGTGCAAGGTCCTGAGTTTGAACCCCAGTACCAAAAAAAATTCCTCTAAAAATGTCATTAAATTGATCATGAGTGTATGTAGCAGAAATGCTTTTAAATTAAAAAAAAATGTTAATACTGATTTATGTGTGGAGACCATGCATTTCATGAGGTTTGTTATTGTTGTTTTAAATAAAGAGTTTACCAAATGTACTGTTTATTTTTTTTCCATTGCTGGGCAAAATACCTGATGTCCACAATGAAAGCAGAGGTTTATTTGGCTAATGGTTTCAGTGGTTTCAGTCCATGGTGAATAAATTACCTTCTGAGGCAGACACATCATGGTGGAACGGCATGCTAGAGCAAAACTCCTCACTTAGTGGCAGCTGAGCAGCTTAGCGGCAGCAGGATCACCACTAAGAGCTGCACCTTCCAACGTCACACTCTTAGTGACTCGCCTACTTTAAGTGGCCCCCACCTCCCTACAGTACATTCAGCTGTGAACATCAGGGGCTTCTCCCACTGCTAAGTGTAGCGCCCCAGGATCCAGTCACTTCTCTGGGAGTTTCCAATCCAGTCTACCTGACAACAGATTAACTAGTATACCAAGTAAGCTGCGTAGGAGGACATTTGGAGCTACTGAGATGTATTTTTCATGCCTAAACAAACATTGTGTGGCCAAAATAGTAACTAACCATATTATGGCTTCTAAACTTTGTAAACTAGCTTTTTTATTAGCCTTTACTGTTGTCATGTTTACTCTTTTATAGTAGGAAAACAGATTAGAAACACCCAAAAGAAGATGCAGCCAGAACTAACCTGGAGACTGAACTAGGTCAACACCTTGGTCTCGTAGCACAGTAAGGGCAGAACTGTTACTAAAAAAGGAACCAGGCTGTGACTGAATTATTATAATCAAGCAGTTTGACGGGGCTCTTCAGTAAGAAGATGCAGTTGGTTAATTGGTGCCCTTTCCTGTCACCCCTGCTCAGGTGCACTGGTGGACCAAGGGGTCTTCGAGGAGCTGGCCCGAGACTATGTCCCTCAGCTGTATGACTGCATGCAGGACCTGGGTGTGATCTCTACCATCTCCCTGTCATGGTTCCTCACGCTGTTTCTCAGCGTGATGCCCTTTGAGAGCGCAGTGGTGGTGGTGGACTGTTTCTTCTATGAAGGAATCAAAGTGATATTCCAGTTGGCCCTCGCTGTGCTGGATGCTAATGTGGACAAACTGTTGAGCTGCAAGGATGATGGGGAGGCCATGACCGTTTTGGGAAGGTACAGTGCTCTGCTTGACTTTAAAAGCCACCTCTGGTTTTCTTCCCTGTGCTTTCTCTCCTCCTCTTTCATTTCACAAGTCTTAATTGAGTGGATGGTAGAAATATAATCTCTGTGGCTGGGGATTTATTTCAGTATGCTTTTTTTTAGAAGTGAAGAAAATTTCTTGAGATTTTTAAGAAAATCTTAGTGTTTTATTTTACAATGCGGTTTTGAGAAACTGAGGAGCAAACTTGTCATGAGACAATTCCCGGTTCACTTCTAGTAACTGCTAAGCACTTCTTCTCTCAGGTACTTGGATAGTGTGACCAACAAAGACAGCACACTGCCTCCCATCCCTCACCTGCACTCCCTGCTCAGCGACGACGTGGAGCCTTACCCTGCTGTGGACATCTTCCGGCTCATTGGGACTTCCTATGAGGTAGGCCTGGCTTCCGGCCTGGTTGCGTGTTGATAGAGCCCTGAGGTTGCCATGGGGAGCTGGTGATGAGTTCCACACTGCTGGCATTCATCATCAAGAGCACCACAGACTAGGCCATTTGTACAGAACAGAAATTTATTTCTCAGCATTCTGGAGGCCGGAAAGTCCAAGGTCTTGATGCAGGTTAGGCCCCATCTCTTGGCTTCCAAGATGGCCCCTTGAATGGTACATCTTCCAGGTGGGAGGAACACCATCCTCACATGGCAGAAGAACAGTCTTTCCTGCACAGCATTAATCCCTAAGGGTAGAGCCCTCCCAACCTGAACACCACCCAGCACTGTTGCATTCATCAGTTTTGTAAGGGATAAAATTATTGAAACCATAGTCTGACTCCTGAGTTTACCCACTTCCTTTTACATCGTAAGAACTAGTTGCCAGAAGTAAGCAGCTGCCTAATTGCTAGTAGTTTTCATTTCTAGAAATGGACACTGAGTGGAGACTAGGATTTCTCTGGCCCTGCAGTTCTTTGTTGTACCCATTCTGAAGCCTGATCTGTTAGTATCTCAGATCCAACTCTGGGTAGAGCGTGGAGGGGCTATTGGGAGCAGGCATCGGGACCGTCATAGGTCAGTTCATTCCTTGTCCATGCTGAGTGCTAGCTAGTGTGAAACACTCAGAATACCTTTAGCAGGCTAGCATGAACCAGAGTCTTAGGATTCCTCTAAAATTGCTTGGCCTGCATGAGGGAGGATGTCTTGTGACCCAGGACTCACTCTGATCTGCTGCTGAATTCCAGGAGAGAATAGCAAGCTTCTAGGGCAAAAGAGCCACAGTGCCACTTACCCCGCAGCACCTGCTGATCTGTGGGGTTCCCAAAACTCAGTCTCTATGGTTTCTTGTCTTTTATAAGTGATCGTTAAGGAAGAGAAAGCATGAATATTCTGCTGAACACACTGTGCTTTCTGTAGACGCTTTGGGTATCCTGGCTGGCAACAAACCAGATGCAAGAGAAATAGTGAGGTGCTAGTTGAGGTCAGAAAGTTCCTCTTAAGAGTCAAAAATTAAAATTGATTTGGATCTAGAAACCTTTTCAGAAATTTTCTAAGTCAATATGGATGAAAGATTGGCTTTTTAAAAAATTTTCATTGAGACTCCTTGATTATTGACAACATTTTTGCAGTGTGTTTGAGTCATAAAATGAATGCTTGATTGTGGCAGAAGTCATAAACAAATATGAGCATTTCCCCACACTCCCCTGAAGCATATTTTTATATTTGCAATATGCACTTTAAAATTCGGGCTCCAGCAAGCACTGCTTTGCCATATTTTATTTTTTGTTAAAATATAGCATGAAAATTCTCTAACACACCAACTATTGTTTAAAGACATGATTTTAAGAAATGACTTACATTTTGTATAATGCGTCAACAAAGTTTACTGACTGACCCCCTTTTCTGGGATATTTACTTTGATTTCTTCCAAAGTTTCAGCATGATATGTTGTGATGAACTTGTACACAAATACCACAGCTCTGATTAATTTATTTAAAGAATCCTAGAATGTGCAGCAGTACATCGAAAACTGTGAATGATCCCTGGCACACGCTCTGTTCCATGTCTCTAGTCCGAAATTATATTTTCACTTCCGAAGATTACAAATGGCTATTTCACTTCACTGTCTTCAAAATTGGTTTTTACCCTAACAATGATTTTTGTTGTTGATGTTTTGGTACCGGGGATCAAACTCAGGATCTTGCATTTGCAAGGCAAGTGGCAGCACCACTGAGCTAAATGCCAGGCCCTACCTGTTTTAAAACTCACAGCTCCAGGACTGTTGTGAAGTACTCCTAAGAAACTCTGAATGACTTGATTGTTCAGAAAAGGAGCCCCTAAGCTGGTAGGCAGTAGTTTATTATGCGTGTGGGTTGTTTTTCTAAAGGGATCCCTTGAACCTTTATTGTTAAAAAGAATTCCAGACCAAGTAGTAAAGCTTTGGATGTGGAAACTCAGCTCTATTCTCCACTGCAGATAAGCTGGCATCATGATGAGGCTGGCATTTCACCCATTTTTAATGGGAAAGAGATGAGAGTGAGACCAGCCCAGGGTCTGGTTTCCATTTACATCCGGTCTGAGCAACTCCTAATGGCCAACCTGGAGCTGCCAGACATCTGATCGCAGGACACAGCAGCAGCTCCCTTCCTCTGCTGGGAGAGAAGCCTCTTAGGCATGCTGTTGCCTGTGTCACCTGGCCTTTCCCCTCTGCATAAGCGTCTTTGCTTTGATTATATCCAGTAGCTCTCTGCCACCTTACAGAAGAACCTGGCGCACGTACTGTGTCTGGGGCTTCTCCATCCGGCTGTGCACAAAATCGTTTTTTCGAAATTGAAAAGCCAAGAGGGCCAGGGATTTGGTGCCACCACCTGCCTCGCAAGTGCAAGGGCCAGAGTTCGATCCCTGGTACAAAAAAAAAAAAAAAAAAATTGAAAATTGAAAAGTCAAGCTTTTAAAAATATAACCTTCCAGGCTCCATTCCACAGCAATTAAATCTGAACTTCTGGCATGAGGCCCAAGAATACATACACACACACACATACATACATACATACATACACACATATATATTTTTTTAAGTTCCCCATGAGACTCCTGACGCCAGGGGAGGGGTGAGAGTCACTGCCTCTCTTGCAGAATGGGGGCCCCGATCACTGAGTCATAAATAACCAGATCTGGGGCTAAGATATGGTACCTGAGTGTCCTGGGCATAAAACACATTTCTTTCTGCTCTTTGGGATAATTAGCCATGAAAGCTGAATAGTAAGAAAGAAATACTGGAAGCACATTCATCTCTGGAGACCTGGCCTGGGGTCCCTGGGTCGCCAGGGTGTGGTCTGTTGATCAGCCTGGTGAGCACATGCGAGCTCTGTACTTGTAAGTGCTTCATGGGGGCGACCTCACTTCCGGGCCCTGGTGAGTTTACTTTACAGGCCTGACTGGGAGGCACAGTGGCCACTGCGGACCTCAGAGCAGCTCACAGCCGTTTGACCGGCCCCAGGGGCTGAGTCTGAGAAGTGTTGAGCAGCAGGAAGCATAGCAAGGAAGACACAAAGCACAGTTTGTCCAGGGGATGGAAGAGTTCAGAGCCGTGCGTCTGGCTGACTAACGTAACTGCACCGGCTGCCACTCACTGAGAGCCTGCCACGTTCAAGGCAGGGTGCCAGGTGCTTGTAGCAGCCCTGCCGGCGAAATGTTTACCCATTTTAAGGTAAAAATTCTTGTTGAAAGAAGTTGAGCTAAACGGTGCAAGCTAGACTGGCAGGAGCTGGATCGGAGATGATGCCTAAAGCCAGAGCCAAGAGGCGTCATGTGGATTAGAACTGAGATGGCCTGGTGGTACAAGTCTGGCCAGACTTGTACAGGCTCATCAAAGGGGCGTCTTGGACCCCTAATTATAGGCAGTAACAGCTGCTGACACTAAAGAGAGTTCTTCCAGGTCATTGTTTCTGTTCCTTGTGTGACTGATTGGAAGGGGGAGAGATGAAGGGACAGACAGGGGAAGCAGCAGCTTCTCAAGTTGCACTGGAGGAAGACCCAAGAGTGTAAACCATGGCCTTTGTCTCTTCAGGAGATGTCAGGATTCGACGGGCACCTGTCTGTGCCGGGCGTCACAGGGGACACAGTCCGCACTGGTGTACCGTTTTCATTCTTCCATTCTAGCGTGCAGATGTGTTCCAGGATAAGTGGAAAGATGACACATTTTCATTAACGCCCTCATGTCGTCCCAGTCCCAGCAATCACCAGCCTTTTCCTGGGCTTTGTATCATTTCACTGCTTTCTTTCTCCTGGAGTGTATTACAACAAACTCCAGAGAGTATGTATTTCACTTAGAACCCCTTTGTTGTCTGTCTTTAGCAGGTAGCAATATTTGGCTCGTGACCTCTTGAGCGCGCGTGCGCAGTTCTCGAGATTGAACCCAGGGGATCCCCTGTCTCTCAGCTACATCCCCAGCCCTTAAAATTTTCCTTTTAAATTTTGAGATAAGAGTCTGGCTCAGTTGCCCAAGCTAGCCTGAAACTTGTGATCCTCCTACGCCTGCCTCTCGAGTAGCGGGAATACAGGCATGCACCACTACGCCTGGCTGATATTTTTTGTTAGTTGAAAGCTTTGATTTTTTTTAAAGTTTTGTTTTTTGGGTTTTTTTTTTCTTTTTGGTGGTGCTGAGGACGGACACAGGGCCTTGTGTGTGCTAGACCAGTGCTCTACCACTGAGCTACACCCCCAGCCATCAGTTTAATTAAAAATTTATGGGCCAGGGATTTAGCTCAGAGGTTACACTGCCTGTCTCTCAAACGCAAGGACCTGAGTTTGATCCCTGGTATCAAAAAAACAAAAAAGTTTATTCAACCTTCCAAAAACAATAGCCCTGTAATAAGCTCTCACTGTAGTTAGTCGAACCATCCTTGTAGCATTTGCACATTTTGTTTGATTTTAAAAATAAATGCTTTTTTTCCCCCTTTTCTTCTTTTTCTCTCTGCTGTCAGCAGTACCAAGAGTACTAACAGCTACCACACAAGTTGCTTTCTGTATGTAGAACATAAAAATTTTTATACCAACTGGAAAGAGGTAGGAATTATGTTCCCTGTTTTCCTGATGAGAAAGCTGAGGGTCATCCGTTTCTGTGAAATTTCCACCAGGTCTGGCGCTGGTCCCACATATGGCAGTGCAGCCTTTTTTCCCCTCTCCACAGGTGCTTCGCTGCCAGGAACACCTCCGTGGCACGAGGCCCATTTATGGTGCATATTTAAAGACAGTGTCCTCAGAGTCACACAGTCACGGGGCTGTAAGGTTTGCCTCAGGGCAGAGGGCAAGCACTCGGGGAGTGGGGCAGCGGGAATGGGGGACCTCAGGGAACTGGGCAGCGGTGACCTGCTAGAGGGGCAGCCCCTTGGCTATTTGAGGTGAGCTACCATCATTGCCACAACTTTTACTTTTTCAAGACCAGTCAAAAGTCTTGATTTTTGTTTTTGTCCTTATTTTTTAAATTAGCTCTTACCCAGACAATATGCCTCATGGGTTTTCCAGTCTACTTGTGTTCTGTTTCTAATTTTAACTTTAGAACAACTTCTTTGCTTTTGAGAGAGGGTCTCCCTGGGTAGCCCAGGCTGGACTTGATGTGGTGACGATCCTCCTGACTCAGCCTCCCATGTGCTAGGATTATAGGGATGCACCACCATGACTGACCTTTGGCTCAACTTTTTAAAATAAATTCTAGGAGCCAGGCAAGCAGGCACATACCTGTAATCCCAGCTCTGAGGGAGGCTAAGACAGTGAGATCACAAGTTTGAATTCTACCTGGGCAACTTAGACCCTGTCTCAAAGTAAAAATTAAAAAGGGCTGGTATGTAGCTCAGTGGTAGAGTGCCTGAGTTTGATCCCCATCATTGCAACAAAAGAAAAAGTAAATAAATGAATTCTAGTTAAAGATATAGTAATGCAGGGCATTGTACTTAGTTTTTAAGAAGATTTTTATTAGTATGTTTGTAGTACACGTTGGTAACATTCATCGCCTTTTGCTTAGTGTTTAGGGCCTTGTCAGAATGAATGACCACCAGCCTAAGAATCAGATGATGTTATTATCCCCTTTTCGGGGATAACAGAAGCTGCAGCTCAGAGGTTGCGCAGCTCACCCAAGGGCATCTGGTAGTTGAGAATGGGATTCAGCTCCCAAGCCTGTCTGTCACTAGTGTGCATCTCCTTATTTGTTATGTTTTAACCAGCCCGTCAAAGAACTGCGAGCCATCTGGTCAACCTGCAGGATGCTTTACATCAAATCTGACTACAAGGCTGTTTCTAATTCCCATACTTCCCTTATGTGATCACCGCTTCTCCAGCCCTTTCTGTGGTCAAAAGACATAGTACCTTGAGGAACATAAAACGTTTGAACACATCAGGTTCTCACTGAAGATTTAGAAAGCAGCAGCCATTGAGCTTGATTGTACTAAGCTTTGTTGCCTCTGTTAAGAGGTTTAACGGATAAAGTAAAAAAGTGACAAAGTGACCGTCCAGTATAATTAGGGAAGTTTGTGCCCCTCGGGGTGGCAGGCTGGGCTGGGGTGGGTAGCTCAGTGCTAGCGCAGTTGGCTTGCATACAGCAAGTGTGAGTTCAGTCCAGAGAGACTTTGAAGGAATGAAGGTGGGAGAAGCTGGAGAACAGAACTTGAGACAGACTCATCTCCACCTGGCTTCTTATCGGAGCCACTTTCTCTGTGCCAGGGACTTCTGTGGACGGTTGGAGGAGGTGTAGGAGGTGCAGGGCTACGTGCCTGTCTGTTGGCATCAGTAACCAAGGGAGCCAAACCTCAAAAAGAAGCGCTTCCTGCACTGAAAATCACCTCTCTCCTCGTCAAGACATTAGGAGCTGGGTTGGAAAATTAGAATTAAATCACAGAAGCATTTAGGCAAAAATTGAGATGGACATTTTCTTCCTATTTCATAGATCTGCTATACATTTTGGGCCTTTACACTTTGAGTTTCTCACACCAGAGAACCGATTCAGTATTTACACATGTGTCCTATTTATTTCACTTAAGAGTGTGGCCTTGAGGAAACATTTCAAAGGGGAAGGGGAACTAGGGAAGAGAAGGGAATGAAAAAAATGAGACAAGAAGGAAAAAATGGAAACAAATCTTTTGCATATAGGGATGGGTAGAGCATTGAAGGGGGGGCTGGGGAATGGGAAAAAACAAGAACCAAGATACATCATGTATAGGGACAAATTCGCAATAATGAATGTGACCATAATGTATGCTTAAAATATACCAGTAAACTTAGTGAAAAAACAAGATGAGTGGGAGGAGAGATATAAATGGAGAAAGGTCATTTTGTTCATTATTTAAGGAAAGGGAGATTTTAGAAAATTAAATTATCTTAGGGGCCCTCCCCCAAGCACTAAATGCTTTGTTTGGGGGAAAATATCATTGTTGTTCTAGGATCTGAAACATGTGGTGCCAGGGAGAAGTTATTGTGGCCCAGACCTTTGCCTTTGCCAAGGGAAAGGGGAACATGGGCTGCAGAATACTGAGTGGTTCTTATGAGCTGTATTTTTAGCATTTCATTATGTCAGAGCCCCTCCAAAAGGATGGGTGGAGGCGCCCCTATATTGTTCTCATCGCTGGCATTGCTTTAGAAATCCTCCGGAAGTAGCCAGGCAGGAACTGGAGGGCTCTTTTTCCCTTTACATTGGGACGCTGGTGCAAGGGCCACTGTTTTGTGCTGTGTGGAGTGGCAAAGGCCTGGCCCGGGTGCGGTCCTTCAGTTGTTACTCCTGGAGGAGCACCTGTTAATTAGAGTGGGGAGAAATCGCTCTTTTTCTTTAGCAACACACCGGTGTTTAAGATTAGCCATCATTATGAGTGCTTTTAGAGGTCGGTATGTCTTTATCTCATAAGAGCACAGCTCTGGGGTCTCATTTTATGGAAGAAGAAGCAGCTGAGCTTCAGAAGACCGAATGGGATCGCTCCGTCCCATAGCCAGCTAGGGAAGGAACAAGAATGTAAATCAAACTGTGTCTAGCTGTAGCATTTATGCTCTGTTCTCCCTAGAGATGAGGAAGAACGAACAGCCTTTCACAGAGGATAGGCAGCAGAGCCAGGAAGCCCTTGTGTGCCCTCGGGTGATTCTGGGGGCTTCTTTAACCTCACAGGACCTTGGTTTTCTCTTCTGTAAAATGGAGGTGGCAGTTGCAATTCACTAAGGTCATTGTAAAAAGCAAATGAGATGGCGTATGAGTGTCCCTGACAGTTGTAAGTGCGATAAAATGTCCTCTGCTTCTCTCTTTTGCTTAGAACTCCATGGTTTTTCAGGATAAAATCCCAAAGCCTGGAAGCTCTACATGTACTTCCCACCCATATGTGCTTTTCTTTGGGATGTATATGCTTAAGGAAGGGGTTCCTGGGCTTAGGAACCCATGTGTTCAGATTTTATAGGTGCTGCTAGCCAGACTTGCAAAGCGGTTGTTTGTACCGGTTGATAGTCCAACTTGAAGTGCATGAGTTGGCTTGCACCTTCTCTCCAGCACTTGTATTTGTGGTCCCCTTTCCTTTATCTTGTAAATGTTTTTACTCATTGCAGTCCTTACTTTCATGGGACGTTTCCAGTTTCAAGCAGTTTGTTTTTCTTTTACATCTCTAAGAAATTTCACACCTTGCATGCTCCTTCTCTGCCTACAGATAGATTCACTTGGCTTTTAGTCCAGCTAACATGGTGGGCATTTCAGAGATTGGAGAGCCGCCTTTGCTTACAGCATCTCCCACCCTGCATCAGAGCACAGATTGCTGGACCTGACCAATAAATGCTATGGAAGGAACAGGGAGCTTCACACAAACATTTCTCCCAACCTCCAAGTCCAATAATTAGCTTCCTTCTTGTCAAGACAGTTCTCCCTTAAGTTTTTTTTTCCATGTACAAATAGCCTAATTTAAACTTTCTTCTCCTTGATGACTACTGTCTTCACATTTGACACATTTGATTTTACAGTTCCGTTCAACTGCTAAAATGCATGAGAATTTCCAGAGCTTGCTTTATGGTCACCACATGGCTTTAAAACGGGAAATAAAAGTATAATCTTGATCACCTAGCGTGGTAAGCTATGTGTGACGTGTGTGTGAGGAAGGCTGCAGCCTCTCGGCAGACGAGACCAGGATACTGTGTGCTGTAGCAGCTTCTCCCAGAAATATTAGCATTTCTTTCTCTTTTTTTCCCCAGAAATTTGGAACTATTCGGGCAGACTTAATTGAGCAAATGAGATTCAAACAGAGACTGAAAGTGATCCAGACCCTGGAGGATACTACGAAACGCAATGTGGTGAGTTCTCGGGGGCCTTTTCCCCTCCGTCCCTGCTCACACTCCTGCAGGCTCATTCATACATTCTGCTTGACAGAACTGAAGACATCTTCAGAGGAGAAAACTAGGGACTTTGCCACCACGACATTTTTTTTGAATATGTAAAATGCATTGTGCTCATTTCTTTGATAGGTACGAACCATTGTGACAGAAACTTCCTTTACTATTGATGAGCTAGAAGAACTGTATGCTCTTTTCAAGGTGAGTTTCAAAGTCATTGCATGTCCTCTCAGACAAATAAAAAAAGTTCACTTTAATAATTCTGTGTTCTTTCGGTTAAGTCACGGGGTCATATGAGTCTCCAGGGTACAAAACTGGATGGCTTAGTGAAACTAAAAAGATTCTTGTCACTAATTTAATCTGGTATTTTATCTCTCTTCCTTTCCAGAGAATATCATAACTCTTTGCCTGAACCTAAGAAAATAGGTTATTGCTTTCTAAAACTCATTGAGTCAGTGGTGATTGAGTTTAAATTCTGCCTGGAATTCTTATAATGCAAAATTTCCTGTATTAAGCTGTAAAGTGCCTTTAAGGAAAAATAATGTATAGCTAAGATGAGAATACAGATGTTTAAATATGAGAAAAAGCATCATTGGTTAAATTTCTGTGCTTTCTATTTTAAAATTGAGCTCCTACCAGTCTTGGTCTGCAGTAAGAAAAGATTATATCACCAACTAAAGCAATACAAAATTTCTTTCTTCTAGAATGTTTGTTCAGGACTGGGGATTGAACCTAGGGCCTTCACACAGAGCTATATCCCCAACCCTTTGGGAAAAAATTTTTTTTTTTAAATTTTGAGCCAGAGTCTGGCTAAAATGCTTAAATGCCCCAGCTGAGCTTGAACTTACGATCCTCCTGCCTCAGCCTCCCAGAGTTCTGAGGTTAAAAGCATTACCTGGCTCCTAGAAAGATAGTTTTGCCATATTATTATTATCAACCTCATGGCTTAAAATGTAGCAGTTGACAGAGGAAAAAACTTAAATGTAAGTACAAATTTTATGACAATAACTAATGCCCAAAATAAATTTGTCCATTTTGAGCAGTCCAAAGATAGTACAGAGGGAAACAAAGGAAGAAGGGTCTAGTCAAGATGGAACACTCCCTGCTGTGGAGACTGAGTTTGGGAGTGAGGATTCTCAGCTGCAGACCTCCTGACCTGGCCACCACTAGAAGGCACCACAACCTTGTTTATTTGTGTCTCCCTTGGTGCCTAGTAAAGTTCCCACCCCCTAGTGTGTTGAATTGATAAATTAGTAATCGATAATCAATGTAGTGTAGTCGCCCCCTTTGTTCTTAAGAAGACACAGAGGTGGATTTTGCAGGGCCCCTGAAGAAGGAAGAGGAGCAGGGCTGTTCGGACAGAAGTCCTGAGATTGCCAAAGCCCTGCCCTATCTGGGCACCTACCACTACCAGCTGCTCAGCATGTCATTTGAACCCTGAGCCCATGCCTGAAAAAAGCAAGCTTTTCTTACTCGGAGGCTCTGCCTTGCCCCCTCTCCTCTGCCCATTAACAAAAACAAGCTCCCCAGGTCCACTGAGTACCCCAAAAGGGACCCTGAGGCTTTGGTTGGTACCAGGAATGGGAGAGATCTTTGAGACTGTGAACCAAAATAAAAACTTCAGCGCTGGGTGCTTCCTTTTGTGTTCGGAGCACTTGAAGTGGCTTTAATTAATTTTCCCCAATAGTTATGGAATCATCTCTGTGCCAGTGTCTGGGTGATTTCCTACAACGACTAAGGAATGACGCCCTCCTTTCCAGGGAGCTTACTGCTGGGCTTTGGAGTAAACCTTGCGGGGAAAGGTGAAAGGCTGCCCTGAGGTGGACTGATGGGAAATGTGCTGCAGGGCCCTCGTTTCTCCGGATTCTTCCCATTCTGGCCCTTCTGTTTCAGTCTCTGACCCTACGCCCTCGTGTGATGGTTTGTGGGGTCTCAGGAGAAGAACAGAGATGAGCTGAGTGGCCTCCTTTCTTCCCATGATCGTGAGCACCATGGAGCCATCTGCGCCTGCATTCAGGCCTGGCCCTGAGTAGCCAGGCTGCTTAGTTAAGGAGGAAAAGCTCTGGGAATTGTTATCAACCATTGTAGCTGAGCTGAAGAAGCCTACACATTCTGTCCCCATGGGCTCGCTAGATTCCCCTCATGATAGTTCAGAGAAGGCTTCTGAACTGCAGGCCTCATGACCTCCCTATCCGCCCTTCCCTCTGATGCCCCCCTGCTTGCCCCAGAAGCCAGGAATCCAGCCCAGGGCACTAGGGACCTGGACACCGCCCCCGCTCCTCTGCCCAGGCTGCCTTGCAAACAATCTGGCCGCTTCTGCTCTCTGCCTCTCCTTCCTCCATGCTCCCCTGCTCCCACACTTCTCTTTTATCTGGTTAGCTGCACTTTCCAGTAAACAGTGGTGATTGCTTTAGACACTGGTCTTTCCGCTTTTCTCCTTTTCTGAGAGCAGAACTGAAGTCTTCAGACTCACAACCTTTTCAGTATCTGTAGGCAAAGGAGAAGGATCTGTTTATGCAGCCTTCCTAGAATCTGTGTGTACTTCTCGTAGAGTCACAGGACCTCCCACATGAGGAGGCTGCCGGCTTCCAAGGACCGGATCGGCCTGTGCCGAACCCAGATCTCTCCTCTCCATAGTGGCTCCTGTAGAGTGTCTTTCCTAGCCCTGTTTGCAGGCGTGTGGAGACGGAAGACCACACACTCACACATCAAATGCCATGTGACTGTGATATTGTGTCCATGACCTTGGCTTTGGAAGGCATGAAGTCATCATCCTGTGTGGTCTTTTCCAGGCAGAACATCTCACCAGCTGCTATTGGGGTGGGAGCAGCAATGCACTGGACCGGCACGACCCCAGCCTGCCCTACCTGGAGCAGTACCGCATTGACTTCGAGCAGTTCAAGGGCATGTTCGTGCTGCTCTTTCCCTGGGCCTGTGGCGCTCACTCTGACGTGCTGGCCTCCCGCTTGTTCCAGCTACTAGACGAAAACGGGGACTCCCTGATTAACTTCCGAGAGTTTGTATCCGGGCTAAGTAAGGATGCACTCTTACCGCATGAGTCTCAAGGCAGAAGGGGCTGATGGATGACCCAGAATGCTCTGCGCTGCCCTCCAGCCAAAGCCCTGCAAAGGTTGGGTCTAGAGGTCAGAGAAACCCATAGGTGCTCTGCACTTCAATGGAAGTCTTTCAGCTCCTGGATGAAGGACTGTCCATCACCAGCAGGCACACTCCCACCCCACCTGCCTGGCTGCCTCACCACCTGCTTTGTTCGTGGCCCTGTATTCTCATTCAGCTCCGATTCCACTTATGATAGACAGTAATAGTGGAGTTGGCCAATCCCACGTGAGGTCATAGATGTAGCAAGCGTTAGGCTGGCAGAATGACGTAAGAAGGAATGCTTTTTTATTCTTAATTGTGCCAGTCTGTCCTTCGACCATACTGTTTAAATGACATCCCAAGGAAAGAGGAAAAGTCAGGCACAGAGGCAGTGATGATTCCAAAGAGCACCCTTAACCTGTAAGAATAATACCAGGGAAGTCTGAAGGTCCAAGGAAGCTGAAGTCTTTAAGATGGGGAGGTCTTCTCGGCTTCGGAAGCTGTGCGAGCGCCTCTGTGTGCTCGCAGGTGGGACACGGGCACTAGCCTTATGAGGAGCGGGCACCGTGCCGACGTGTTAGAACCTGTACTGATTGCTCAGTCCAGACAACCGCCTTGGAAGTAATAACAGTGGTGAGAGCTGACATTTATTCAGCGCTCACTCTTCAGGCTCTGCCCCAGGGGCTCCTGTGCATCTGATTTTCCCAAAGACACACAACTACAGACTTCCTGTTTAAGGCCAGGAAGCCTAGAGACGCAGGTGATGCAGTACTGTTATGCTGTAGTACTTGACTTAGTTCCCCTTAGACTGGAGAATTTATAAACAGCAGAATTTCATTGCTCATAACTTCAGAACCTGGGAAGTAGGGATCAGAGCAACAGCAGATGCAGTTTCTGTTGAGAGTCTGTCCCTCCTAGACAGACCCTTCTCTGCACCCTCACACAGTAAAAGAGCAAACAGGCTCTCTCAGTCCTCTTCTGTGAGAACAAAAATTACATTTGTCAAAGTCCTCCTGATCCAGTCAACTCCCAAAGGCCATCTTGCAACCAACTCCCAGAGGGCACCTTGGGAGTAAGTTATAATGTCGACTTTCAGGGGAACACAAGAATTCCCACCACAGCCACAAGCTACCTGCTTACTGTTACTGTTCCCATTTGTAGCTAAAGGAATGAAAACTCAGAAGAATTAAGTAACTGGCTGCTGACACATTAATTTTTAGCCATAAATGTCCTCGGGGTGGGAGTTGAGATAAGATTTCACTTTGTAGTTCAGGCTGGCCTCAGATGCAGGAGTCTCCTCCTGCTTCAGCCTCCCAAATGCTGAGCTTGGGCACATACCACTGCACCCAGCCTTTAAATGTCTGTTATTATCTAAACTGAGAAGCACAGTTAGTATGCACTGGGCCCAGGATGTAAATGAGGTCTGTTTCTCTCCAAAGCTCTTCTTTTCCCACCACACTGAGACAGTGAAAGAGATTTCCTTCTAGACCTCTCTCAAGAGAGACATTGACTTAAAATTAACAGAGAAGGATCAAGAAGAATAGCCACAGAAGCCACAGAATGCAAGAAAGTTGACAGTTTTGAAGATGTGTCACCTGGGAAGATAGGCTTGCCCTAAAATAATGACAGAGCGGCCTGCATGAAAACCTGAGCACTTGGCTGTCAGAAGAGGCAAAGATCTTTTCTCTTCAGCTTTAAGGAGCTGAGCAAAGGGGAGACAGGTGGTTCTAAACAATTGCTGAATGTTCTTTGAGATCTGATGAGGACTGTGGACATTTTCTTTCCAAGAAGTAACATATGCATGTAATAAGGAAATGTCATGTTGAGGCCAATGGTTAAGGATCCTTGGACTAAATAAAAGTTGTAGAGACGAGAAGAGAGCCTATGCTGAATGGAGGTCAGATGAGATGACCTATCAAGTCCCTTCCAGCCCAGACTCTAAGTCCTCTTTTCTCTCTTTCTTTAAATCTAATTCATCCTTAAGCACTGAAGATATATTTTTATAAAGGACTTTCTGATTCTAGTAATAAATACGAGCATTAAAGGAAAAAGTAACAGGATTCTTTTACTTGAAGCTATGATGATATAATGGTAGACACATTCAAATCAGTTAAGGCAGGGGAACTCAAAAACTAAAAACAATTTCTAAAGTGAGTAAATCAAATTGAACTCATAAGTATTTCGGAGGTTGACTCCTGGTGACACGGTCTTCCTCAGTAATAACTCGAGCTTATGATGTGCTAGCACAGGCCTAAGTTCTTTACATGGACTAACACCCATGGTCCTCATGTTTCATGAGGTCCTGAAGTCAACATCACTGGCCCAATCTTCTGTTATCAGCTCTCCTCAGAGAAGGAAAACAGGCTCATAGAAACTCACTCTCCTGTGCCACATAGTAAGTACAAAGGATTTGAAACTAAGCCTTCTAGACCCAGAACTCATCAGCCAACACATGCCCTGGCCAAGAGCTTTTGTTATACAATGACTTGGTTCCCATTTGTAAAAGATAGGCTTCAAGGATGTGGCAAGGCTGGAGGGACCACTGGTGCTCACACACTGATATTTCATGTCCCTTCTAGGTGCCGCGTGCCACGGAGACCTCACAGAGAAACTCAAACTCCTGTACAAAATGCATGTCTTGCCTGGTGAGTAAGTTGCACAGAGTAGCACGTGTAAAGCAACCAGGGCCTGGCACAAAATCTCTTACCTTGGTCTAACCTGTTTGCCTCTTTGATCTACAAGATTGTCGGTCACTGAGGACAAACTGTGTAAGTTCCTGAACTGGCATGTGCTTGATTCGGCCATTGTTTACCTGTCTGAGATAATAGAAGTCAGCACAGGCATGTGCAAGAGAAAGAATAAAGAACATCTAGTTATGTGTCAGGCGCAAGGACTGCAGAGACAAAAAGACTAGGAGGTGCTGTGAGACTGAGCTTTAGGGGAGCCCTTTTCACATTAGCAGGAACAGGTGGCGGATGGTGAGGTTGTAAGTTCAACTTTAAACCAGGCTGGTCTCAGCTGGCATATATGCAGCAACTACTAAGAAAATAAAAATGAGAGATTAACACTAGAGACACGGTATATTTGGGGATCTATATAGCACAGTGGCCCAATTTTGTCCTAAAATTGGTTCTTAAAGTATAATTGAAAGAATTTCGGAACTTCTACATAACGAGAAAGACATAAAGGGTCACTAATGTGTGGTCCTTTGAAAGGAAGGTGCAGTTCGAAATGGAGAGACAGCCCTGCTAAAGTCGTACAGAACAGTCGGCCTTCCTGGCACCCAGTGATGTGACCTCACCCGCTTTTATAGTTGTAGTTCTTCATTCTCTGACATTTTATCAAATAATTAAAGCTCACTTTGTTAAGGCCCTGGCCCTCCTGGTATAAGGATCATATTTCTCACTTTTCCAGAGCCATCCTCTGATCAAGATGAGCCAGATTCTGCTTTTGAAGCAACTCAGTACTTCTTTGAAGACATCACCCCAGAATGCACCCATGGTAGGTGACCTTTCTCCCTATGGCTACTATGTTTATCTTCTGCAGAGCCCTGGCTCAGGTTCCTGGAAAAAGACTGGCCCCAGAGCTAGTCAACCCAGGAAGTATGCGAGTATGGTCAGCTACTGTTACTTTCCTTTTGAATTTTCAAGGCTAGGCAACTGGGGAGCTATGGAAGGCACCATGTATATTGTGTCCTGCTGGTGCTAGGGAAAGCATATTCTGTGTGCCTGGGTATTTTGTACCGCTCTCCCTGTTGGCTGGGGTTCACTTAGAACATCATCCTGTTACCATATGGCTATCGCGAGCTCCGACTGGCATTTCTGTCAGAAGGCATCTCTTCTGTCTGCTCTCTGTATCGGACTACAGCCCACACACACAACCCAACTCAGTGTCTGAGTTTTGTACAGCCCATCAACTGAGAATGGCTTTTATATTTGTAATGCTTTCTCAAATTGAAAAGCAGAATAATATTTCTTGCCATGGAAAATTGTATAAAATGGAAACTTTCATGCCTCCAGTATTTTATCGGGGTGCCGCCCTGCTCATTCCTTTCTGTATTGCATGAGACTGTTCTCACTGCAGTGACATAACTGAGAAATTGAGACAGGAGCTATATCACCTGCAAGGAGTGATATACAGTCATTTCTCTGTATCCATGAGCTCCTCGTCCACATCAACCGTGTACTAAATTATTAGGGGGATTGCATCAAAATAAGTACAGGCATTCTTAAGTTGTCCTTATTTCCTAAGCATTACAATATAAAAACTCTGTAGCATGTCTATTTTATTAGGTATTATAAGTATGTTAATCACCTGAGTCAGTCTGAGGCCTCTTAGGATGTGCAGGACAGATTGCGGGTAGGAGGTTTGCACAGGATGCTAGTTCTGCATGGTGATACTGGGCAACCTCAGGCAGCTTCCTGTGTCTCTGAGCCTCAGTTTCCCTGTGTGGAGCATGGAGATGATAGCTGTCACCTGGGGTCTGGGGCTGTGGGGCAGGGGACCTAACGAGATGAGGCAAAGGCTTTTCCAGGAGCACCTGAGCACACCTAAATGTCGCTCTTCTTGTTAGCCAGTACGGCCACACAAGTTTAGCCTTCTCTTTCTTAGTGGGCACTCATTTCACAGAAGGATTCTCTTGTTCTGGAAATGTGTTAGTAGACTTTGTGTCCAAGAAAGATACTTCTTAAAGAATGTGTTTCTGACTTCAAAAGTACTATTGCTTTCTGTCAATTTTTTTAAATGCAAGCAAAATTATAAGATAAACAAATTTTAAAAAGAAGAATCACAAGGGGGTATCTCAAAAATCAGTTTTGAAACTACAAAGCATGAATCTTCAACGATTTTATAGCATGTAGCATTTCAGCAAAAAAAAAAAAAAAGGGGTTTTTCTTTCTTCTATAAAAAGATTTGAATCTGAGAGTGTTTTGTTTTTGTTGGGGAGAACCTGGTTCAAAAAAAAAAAAAAAAAGGTGTTTTTCTTTCTTCTATAAACAGATTTGAATCTGAGAGTGTTTTGTTTTTGTTGGGGAGAACCTGGTTCAAAAAAAAAAAAAAAAAGGTGTTTTTCTTTCTTCTATAAACAGATTTGAATCTGAGAGTGTTTTGTTTTTGTTGGGGAGAACCTGGTTCAAAAAAAAAAAAAAAAAGGTGTTTTTCTTTCTTCTATAAACAGATTTGAATCTGAGAGTGTTTTGTTTTTGTTGGGGAGAACCTGGTTCAAAAAAAAAAAAAAAAAGGTGTTTTTCTTTCTTCTATAAACAGATTTGAATCTGAGAGTGTTTTGTTTTTGTTGGGGAGAACCTGGTTCAAAAAAAAAAAAAAAAAGGTGTTTTTCTTTCTTCTATAAACAGATTTGAATCTGAGAGTGTTTTGTTTTTGTTGTGCAGAACCTGGTTCAAAAAAAAAAAAAAACGACAGTGTCGTCCTTGCAAAGTTCAGATGATCATGTTGCAGAGAAGGGGCAGGGAATCACATTCACTGGGGCCAGCAGCCCCATTTTTAAGTTCCGACATAATGTCTTTAATGTTTAATTGTCTACTGAACCCCAGCTGTGAGAAAGAAAGCTGGGAAAACCCTTCCCCTAGAGAAATGGTTAGCAAGTAAATAGGGGACATCTGGTAAAATTTGAATTTCAATTTTTTTAAATTTGTTTAGTATAAATGCGTTCAGCACAGTATTATAGATGGCATGCCTACTGAAAAACACACTCACTGTTTATCTGAAGTTCACATTTAACTGGGTGTGCTGGTGTGTTTTGTTTTGTTTGCTGAAGCAGGGCCCTACTTCTCAGAGACTCTTCTGTTCCTACCGGAAGTGCTAAGTCCGTGGCCATACTACATAACATTTTCTCTCTTTCTTCTGCACACGCCTGGCTAGTCGTTGGATTGGACAGCAGAAGCAAACAGAGCGCAGATGACGGCTTCGTTACAGTGAGTCTGAAGCCAGACAGAGGTACACACGCTCTCCTCCATGTCCGCCTGCTGGCTAGTCGAGCCCTTATCTCTTGGCCCGTGAACACTTATTTCTTGACATTTGGGTTTTAGGGAAGAAGGCAAATTCTCAAGAAAATCGAAATTATCTGAGACTCTGGACTCCAGAAAATAAGACTAAGTCAAAGAATGCGAAGGATTTACCCAAGCTGAATCAAGTAAGTTCCATTCATTTCTAACCTTGAAGCTATTTTTTTTCTAGTCATACATAAATAGGCCCTCAGAGGAAGTGGTAACTTGGGGACACTCTATTACTATCTTTTTGGATCGATTTTACATATGTTTTTAGCTGAATGTGAGAAAATGACCTCCTCAGAGAAAATTAGAACTACAAAACAATTTTGCAAGTCCATGCAGTTCATCCCAGTCACCAGAAGTATCTTCAGGTGCTCAGCAGGGAGGCAGTGCTGTTTCCTGTCAGGGTGCTTAGCTAAGAGACCCTGCCATGTGCTTTCCTTAAAAAGCTGCAGTGCAGGGCAGGGGATTTAGCTCAGTGTTTCCACTGCCTTCCTCGGAAGCTCAAGGTCCCGAGTTCAGTGGCCCGGGCCTGTAATCCCAGAACTCTGGGCGGCTGAGGCAGGAGCATCACAGTTTCCAGTCCTGCCTGGGCAACTTAGGGAGACCCTGTCTCAAAATATAAGAAAACTAAAATGAAAAGGGGCTGGGGATGTAGCTCAGTTTGCAGGTCCTGGAGTCAGTCCCCAGCTCCCCATCCCATCCCGTCCTTCCCCCAAAGGAAGCCCGGTAGAGACTCTCAATCCATCCAGCCGACCTCACAGAGGACTTTCCAGGGGCCTTCGTTCAGACGCCTTTTCAGTCCTGCCCCTTTCTGTGCCACTCCCCAGGGGCAGTTCATCGAGCTGTGCAAGACCATGTACAACATGTTCAGCGAGGACCCCAACGAGCAGGAGCTGTACCACGCCACGGCGGCGGTGACCAGCCTGCTGCTGGAGATCGGCGAGGTGGGCAAGCTGTTCCTG